GAGGAGGAGGCGAGGATTCACCATAGCGCGGAGGTCATCCTTAGAAAGCTCATCTTGCAGTCTCTTGACCTCCGCCTGTCATGGTTTTCAGCTTATCTCAACCTTGCCCTCCGTCTCCTTCACCTGCAGCTTCGCGATCTCCGCGTCCTTTGCAGGGTCTCCTCCTCCTCCTCCTCCTCCTCCTCCTCCTCCCTTCGCCACCTGCGCCTTGAGCTCCTCCACTTGTCCCTGGCATCGCTTGAGCTCAGCCTGCAGTCGCTGGATCTCCGAGTCCTTCCTGCCGCAGCTCTCGCAGGGCTCGGGGTTAGCGGCAGCCGGCATTGAGCGACTCTCCTTCCTCAGCTTCTCCACGTCGCTTCTCAGCCTCTCGTTCTCGCTCGAGCTCCGGTCCAGCTGTCGTTGGAGATCCGCCACCATCGCGTCAGAGTTGGAGGAAGCGGCGCGAGGGGCCGCAAGTCCTCTAGTCTTGAGCTCCTGCAGCTCCTGCAGCAGCCTCTCCTCCACTCGCTGCACCTCCCCGCGACGCTCTCGCGCCTCCTCTTCCGCCATCGCCAGCTTCGCCTTGAGGTCTGCGATCTCCCGGTTCTGCTGGCTCAGCTTCGCCTGCACTTGCGCGGCTTGTGCGGTGTATCGCTCGGCCTCCTGCAGCGCCTTTTCTGACTTAGCCACGCTCTGAGCCTCCGCCTCCGACAGCTTGTCCCGCAGCTCCTCGATCAGCTGCTGCTGCTGCTTCTCCACCTCGCTCCCCTCCCCGTCCACCAGCAGCGCCGCGTCGTCCAGGAGGTCCGGCCGAACTCCCTTGGGCGCAAGGTCCTCGAGCTGGTAGCGCAGGGAGCGGTAGGCCTGGTACAACTTCCTGCTCCTCCTCGCGTACGACATGCCCTGCTCCCGAGACTTCCGCAGCTCCTCCTGCAAGTGATCTTCGCGGGCTCCGTAAGTCTGCACGAGCTCCTGGAACATGGCGTCCACAGAGGCTCGGAGCTCAGCCGTGATGATGCTGGTCTCCTGCTCGAGGGTGCCGCTGCTAAGGCCCTTGTTGACCTCGGAGGAGAGGTGAGAAACGTCGCTGATGTACTTGTGCAGCTTCTCACGGTAGCTCTCCGACAGCTGCGTCATCCTCTGCCTCAGTTCTTGAGTCTCAGACTGTAGCTGCGCCTCTACCATCGCCTTCTCGTTCAGCTCGTTCTCCATCTCTGCTGCTCGACGAGACGCTTGCTTGAACTGCGCCTGTACTGTCGCCATCTCCTCCTCCAGCTTCTTCATCACTCGCTTGTGCTCTTCTCCCCGGTCCACCAGCTCCTGCTTCAGGCTCAAGAGTTCTTCTCCCTTGTTCTGTTCGTAGGTGGCGTACGTCCTGTCGGCCACCAGCTTCTGCTCTTGGAACTGAACCCTCATCGCTTCGAACTCCAGCCTCGCCCGCTCCTTCTCAGTCTTGAGATCCTCCACCTCACGCTGCAGCTGTCGGATCAGTTCCGCGTTCTCCTTCAACTCCGTCTGACTCTCTGCCATCCTTCCCTCTAGCTCTGAGTTCATCTTCAGAATGTTCTCCCGCTGCGCCTGCAGCTGCTCGCGCTCTCTCATCAGCGCGTTCTTGGTGTTGACGAGGTTCAGCAGCTCCAGGCTCAGCTCCTCCGACCTCGCCTTCTCCGCGTCCAGGTCGTTGAGCACTGAGCTGTAGTTGGATCGCACTGCTGCGATCTCATCCTGGCAATCTTTCACCAGCATTGTGTCGTCGCGGTGCTGGGACTGTAGCCGTTCGATCTCCTTCTGCTTCGTCTGCCCCTTCATCTCCAGTTCCACGATGTTGTTCTCAAGCTGCAAGATGCGGTTCTGCAGCTGGAACTCGGTGTCCACCGCCTGCTCCATTAAGTTTGTGTTTTCGATCTGCAGGTCCACCAGAACTTTCGAGACCTTGAGTTTCTCCTCTTCGCTCTGGATGCGCTCCTGCTGTAGCTGGCTCTTCTCGGACAGCAGCTGGTTCACCCTCGCGTTGACTTGCGCCAATTTCTCTCGCAGCTGCTCGCGCTCCTCGATCAACGCGAGTCTCGCCTTCTCATCTTCGATGATCTTCTTCTCCAGCTTGTGGATCTCCAGCAGATGATTCGTCAGTCGATCGTCAACGTCGAGCCCTCCAAAGCCGGCGGCAGCAAGCTGCTGGCGGAGAAGATGCATCTGATTGTTGTACTTCCGTAGCAGCGCAATCTGTTTGCCGTCATTGACAACAGGGAAGTTGCGAATTTTGCCGAAGAGCTGCGAAAACTGGAGAACAAACGAGTTTGCACGATAATCAGCTGGGGGGATGGTAGTGAAGATGAGGGTGCGACTGCTTCCTCCAAGTACGTCGGGGAGGAGGGCAGTCAGTTTTGATTGCCCAAAGTCGATGAACTCCATATCCTGCACGTCATGCGCCTGAGCCAGCGCCTTCACAACTTGACCAAAGGATGTGATACTCTGATTGAGTGTAGGGCCCTCGCGAATGCGGAGGGTCGTCGCGTCTTCAGCGAGTTTCTCAGCTCCAGGCAGGTCGATGACGAGGAAGCGGGAGAAGAGGTGCTCCTCCACCGGCTTCAGCAGCCCGATGGCCGAGTGAGTCACCACCTGGTGGAGCTCCAGGCTGAAGATGCTGGAGGATCGCTCGCTCAGGTTTCCAAACTCATTCCTCAGGGTTGTGCGGGACGACTGACCAACGCGAAAGTGATGGTAGAGCTCATCTTCCGAGTCCACCCACTTCCGCGTCAAGTTCCTGATCCCCAGGCCGTCGTTGATCCCAAACTCGTTGATCTCCAGCTCCATCTTCTGAGGGTTCAGCAGGTCGTTGATCTTCTCATCCACGATTTCTATGTACTGCACGCTCAGCTTGAACCGCCACTTCTGCGACTTCTTGCGGAGAGTTTGCTTCCCTGCTCCGAACTCCTCTGCCTTGCTCCTGATCCCCTCGAACACTCCGTTGATCAGGCACGGGATAACGCCATCCCTCGAAGCTGGTCCAGACCCTTCGATGGTGTAAGACTTCCCGCTCATGGAGTTGCCGAAGGCAACGATCGAGCAGTTCACTCCTTCGAGGAAGCCTGGAGTTCCCTGCTCGTCTCTCGTGATCATGGGAGACATTGATCTCTCATACGCTTGTTCAAACCCGCTGTCGATATAAGTGAAATCATTCGGATACTCGTCAGCAGTGGTCCCTTGCACCTTTCCGACATCAAGAAGTACGATTTTCTTCTGGTTGTCAATAACCCTCAGATCTCCAGCCCTTCCTTCATCAGGAAGCAGAGGTCGGATTCGAACTACGTTCAACACCGGAACCCCCAGGCCTGACAAGTTGGTGCCTGCCTCCATCTTCTACAAGGTGACTATCTGTTCCACTGCTCTGTTCTTTCTCAGTCTCTTCGCCTCCTGGGCTCTCACTTCCTCGGGTTTGCTCTCTCTGCTTCTCCTCTTCTTCTCCGCCTTCTCTCGCTTCCCTCCCTCCCCTCCACCATTGTTCCTTTCCCTGCCGTTGGCCGTTACGAAGAGCGGTTATCATTGTCGGATTGATGTAACACGGATGATGGGTGACCTTTTACATTTGACTAAATTATTTGTACCAGACATCATAGCTCAATAAAGTTGAGTAAATAAATAAAGAGTTGAAGTTGGTAGGAAGCAACGGTTGGGCATGGTGCGGGTAGGATGGGCAACGGGATGCGCCCGGCCGGCGGTAGGGATGAAGGTGAAGATGGCAGGAGCTCTGGCGAGTCGAGGAACAGGAACCATCGTTAAGGTTTGGAGCTCAGGCTTAGCTCAGCCAGCATGCAGGTTTAGCGTCTGCCCTCTTGCGTGACCAGAGTGACGGAAGAGCAGAGTGAAGTGGGAGGATGGAAAAAGCGTTGACTACGTCTCCGGACTGGCGATCTCCCAGTACGGATAGCATGTTTCATATAGATCATGCTCGCGTGCGCCTGACGAAGAGAGCTGACACTTGCCTGATCGCAGAGGGGCTTCGCTCCGAGGTCAACACCCTGATTTGGATGATAGCTTGATACGACGATGGGCAGCTCGAAATGAAGTCGATGAAAGAGTCCTGGAGACGCTCTCACTCCATCAGATTCAGAATCTATCGCCGAGCAGGATCTCAGAATTGATAGGAAAAGACCTGGACAAAGACGAGATCGAAGAGCTGAAGCGGCTGGCGAGCCAAGTCTACGAGGTGAGCAAGAAGTCGCCGGTGTGGGTGACATGACCTTCTCATGCGAGGCAGACTCTCAGGCACAAACGTCCTCGATTCCTCAGAGTCAACTCTGACGGGCCGGGACATGATTGGGTCTGGCCAGGGGGAAGTGGGTCGATACTCCCGCTAGTCCAGCTAGACATGAATATCCCTGCATACACCTTGACAGGCATCTTTGCTGTGATAGACTCTTGTGTGTCTGACATTCCCTTCATAGATTCAAAGAAACAGTTTTTCGGCAAATCAAAATATTTGCAATTACACGTCAACATCGAGTCGAAAGGTGAGTCGTGGGTGCTATAGTTGGTAGAGTGACGGAAACTTCAAGGACCGATGTCGCTTTCACGAAAATGTCCCAACACCTTGTTTCTGCTCAGCAGCAAGCGCCGATGACGTCTTGGTGTATCAGACAGCAGAACCGACAATAACTCACGTCTCAGTACATCGTCTCAGTACAATGGAGGCGTCAGCAGATTACAGACAAGACCAACAATCATTCCGATCCCCGTCCCAATAATCTGCATAGTTTGTTAGGCTTCTTCGTGTGGCAGGTCGGCACATTGGCTGACATATCCGATCGTGCCAGTCAAGACAGCTGATGAAATCTTCTCGGTCCAGCCCATCACCCCGGCCATGGCGGCAGCTGTCGCAGGACCTGACCACATGTTCAACTAAGGTAAGGCAGCAAGAAAGGAGACCTCCTATCGCAGCGTTTGACGCCAGGAGGAGGTCTCGCACGTCAATTTTCAATAATCTGTGGCAAGTCAGTTGTGTTGGCACAAGTTCAAGGCCATGCTTCGTACCGCCGCCCAAGTAGCGCCATCGTTGCTCCGTGTACAGCTAGAATTACAGCTACGAATAGCAGCAGAGGAGCGATTGCGCCGAAAGAAAAGAGCGCTCGTAGATCAGTCGTGGCTCCAATCGTGGCAAAGAAGACTTGAAGGAGCAGAGTTCCCATGAGCTGAAAATATTGTCATGCGAAGGCTCGTTTGTGTTGCTCCTCTTACTCGCGAAGACGAGGACCAAGATTCCCTGAACTTCTGCGGAAGCGTGAAAGCTGCTAACATAGAAAGTGCTGTTGCTATTGGTACACCAGCGTCAAATGCCTTCACATATCTAGCCATTTGATACGCAAGCAGACAGATTGCTGCTCCTGCTGCTTGGCAACTTGCAAAACCTTCAATGGAAGGTGCTGGTTCCATTTTGGCCTTTGCAGCAACTGACGCCTCTTCTCTCGGCCCATCCTTCTTCTGGTGTTTTCTCCTTCAATCGCAAATTGAAGCAAAACGAATGTCGAGGTTCAAGAAATAGCTGGTCAGCAGTTATCATGGAATTCGAACAATACCCGATGTAGAAAAGAATCGCAAAGTATGCAGCCATTTGAATCATATCTGCCGAAAAAGCTGCAGCGAGGGAGGCTGGATCTCTCAGCTGTAAAGATGCATTACATCACATAAACCATCACTTACTGCTGTCACCCGAACAGCGTCGGCAGTGGCGATAAAGTTCTGCACGCGAGAGGTAAGGCTGTCCTACAAGGAGTCTCATTTCATTCACCATGGTCCCGCCGACGTAGGTAGACGTGAACACCTACAGCAGAAGTTGGCAAGAGCACAGAGATCAGGTCCCTTCACCGCTGCGAACTTCCAGGCATCAGGAATCCCTATACAGAAGAATGCAACCATCGCCCCGACGACTGTACCAATGCTTGCAACTCCAAAGGCTTTCAACATACTCGTCGAGGTGCTCATTGTTGTCCTTATGTCTTCTCTGTCTAACCCCAGCATCATCTGGCACATCGCGAGTGGAATCAAATGTGCCCAAACCACAGTGTAGGCAGGATGCGATGTGGACGCTGAGAGTAAGCCAAAGCTTGACATGAGCATTGACGTGAAGAAGGTGACCATGGCTCCCGATACAATACCTCCTATTCTTGTGTATTTCTCAGCCCACAGCCCAAAAGCACTAGATCCCATTAGGAAGGCGACAGTTTGTCGCATGTCGATGCTGGAGATGTGGACGAGTTCCTCTTGGACAGCTTGCGCTGTGCTAGGAAGAGAATAAGTGACGGCGAGGGCGACAGCGAGAGCCATCAGCCTTCTTAGTGTTCGATGCTTCGGAGCACTCAACACATCCTCTCCTCCTCTCCTCCTCTCAACTTGCACGGGGAAACCAAACTCTCGTCTACCAGCTTTCGAAAGTTTCGACTTGGCTAATGGGGCGGCAAGCAGGCTGGTTTTCTCTGTCCCCGGAGCAGACGACAAGGGAAGAGACATGCCGATCCTCGGGAGGGAGGGAGAGAATGCACTTCCCCCGCATGCGCTTGCGACCAACCATAGCGCCCATACGCCCTTCCATCGCATGCTTCAGAGGAACCAGAGTACTATATTGCTTATAGTTGGCCAGGTATTGCTAATACCCTCTAAAGCGTTCATACAGCAGTTTGTCACTACTGGTGAACCGTAGGAGGGACTGGAGGCGATGACGGAGCGATGCGGATGGTGGGGAAGCAGCAAGGCATGGTCTGTCAGTCAAGCTCCTTCAACGTCCGACCGCTCCTCAGCCAACATGAAGTACTTCAAACTCGCGCATCTGAGCGGCAAGCAGTCCATGCATGACACTCACTGGAGTTCGTCGACCCAGTCTGTGGATCATCTCAAGTATCTCAACATGTTTGATCAATGTGCAAGCAGATGATGCTTCCAGCAGGGAAAGAATGATTTCACCAGAGAAAAGCGATCTGCTTGCGAAAGACCTCCTGATATCGACATTGCAGTCGAAGCTGGAGAATATTGAGAGAGAAACCAAGCATCGAAGCAAGAGGTCTGCGTGTCTTTGCTCGCCGCCATATTGAGGAGCTATGTAACCCATTGCATCAGAATGAAGGAGCAGAGAGAGAGCGAACAAAGGGAAATGCAGGCGATAGGTAGAAACGGCAGAATGGGGCAGCCGGGTTGCTGACCAATCACTTGGTGCAGAGAAGAAGATAGAAGCGCTAGAGAAACAGAATTCTAATCTGGTTCAAGCCATCATGCGTTCAAACCCTCATCTCAACACGCAAGACTTTCTTTCCCGGGTGAATGATATCTGTGAAGTCGACGGTCACGACCGCGTCTCGGCTGAATTCAGTGCTCACGACGATGTTGGTGAAAGCATGCTGCGGTCTGCCTCAGCTTCCTCAACTGTCTCTCAACCCCTCCAAAGATGTGTGGAGCTTGGTAACCTTGCACGCTCTCCTTGTGCAAGTCGCTCATTTCTTCTTCCGTTCTAGCCCACGACCCACTAACTAGCAAACGACGTTCGATGGAGGGCTGGTTGTTCTGGTATCGAAAGATGTTGGAGTTAGGCCACGACAAGCCTGCCATGAGCGAGAGTGACGAGGTGCATCGGCATAAGGCTGACTCAGAGAAGGAGATGCTGGGGTTCCTGCTGGGCAACGAGGACTCGAGGAAGTTTCGGGATATCGTCGAGAGTTGTTCGAGTCACGAGCGAGAGGAGGTGATCCGAGTAGTGGCGTATCAGCTTCAGACTCTCGGGGTTGTCGTCAGAGTCTTGCAGCTCTTCCTGCAGGTCTCCAGTCAACCCATAGACGTGGACTCATGCTGCTCCTGCTTTGTTCGCGAAGTGCTTCCCTGATTGCTTGCTGTGCCTCGAATGACCCTGCTGCCAGGTCAGGACCCTCGTATCAGCGAGTAGAGTTGATGTGTGGCTGGTCGATGAAGGCAAGAAGCAAATCATGCTGTGGGCTCCTGGCAATCGTTCGAAGAGAATCAAATCATTCTGCAAGGAAGAAGTAGAAGCAGGTACAAGGAGAAGATTGCGACCTCAGACGTGACAACACCATCTCCCACAGATTACACGCTCTCTGCTGCTGAGAGACTCTGTCAGCCGATCAGACATCAAGGAGTTGTCGTGGCTCTTGTCGAATGCCATGACAAGATTGCTCCTTCGCACCTGCAAGATCGCAAGGCAAAGTTCTCCACCATGGATCATCTCCTGTTGCAAGCAGTCTGCGACCAAGGAGGAATGCTCTTCCATCGGATCAACACATTACTCCAAACCATCCAAGTCGTCGACCGGGCGCTCAAGTCTCATATCCTTCTCGGCCCTAATTCATGCAGCCCTATGGACCTTTATCGACTTGTCACCATCCAGTTTTCACGGATCAGAGATATCTTGAACGCCACCACCTGCGTGGTCTACATGCTCACTGATGAGAGCTCGCCTCAGAAATGTCTGTGGACGAGACGGCAGGACGAGTGCGAGGATCTTCTACAAGTTTCTCTTGGGACGGGAGTCGTTGGGTGGGTAGCAGAGTCAGAGGAAGCAATCTTGCTGGACGAGCCACAAAAGAGTAGGAAATTCGACCGCCTTGTCGACACGGTGCGAGGCGAGGAGGAAGGAGGTTCCATGCGTGAGCTTTGATGCAGGCTTACAGTCCGGCAACTACGAGCGTGCAGAGTCTGATGGTGATGCCGATACGGAGCGAAGATGGGCCTCTCTTGGGGACTTGCTCCATGATCAACAAAGGTAACCACCATTGGTGAGATTGAGCATCTAACAAGCCAAAGTCACTGGGAATTTCAACGACTCCGACAAGCGATTCTTGGAAAACTGCATCAGACAGATCTCTGTCAGTATCAGTGGGATGAAAACACACCAGCTGGAGCTCCTTCTCACGAGGTGATTTTAATTCTAGCTTGCTTGCGGCAGTATCTGATCTCAATGCTAGAGAAATCCTTGAAGGAGCCATCGATCGCACTCAGCTCCTGCTTGCCGCCGAACACGTGCTTGTCTTTTCAACAGGCAAGGAATACAGAACACAAATCGAACTTGTAACTCTTTCTTAGATTGGAATTCAAGGAAGCTCGTGAGAATTTCATCAGACGACAAGATATCGATGAACGACCACCTCATTGGCAAGTTCTGCTCTTCTCCCCTGCGACCCTCACTGCGGTGTTCAGGGTACGTTGCTCGTACAGGAAGCGACGTCCTGCTCCAAGTAGCTCAGTCAGACCCGCGAGTCGAAGATACGCTGCATGCCATGCTTGGAGAAGAAGTCCGAACGCTGATGTAGCCCTGACGTCTCTGCGTCGCGCTCAACTTACTCTGGCTAGATGCGTTCCCATCATTGACGAGCAAGTGCAAAATGATGTTAAGGGAGTTCTTCTCGCTGCAAACAAGAAGCATGATCTTGCATTTGACCAAGAGGTTCTTCTTAAGTCTCCCCCCTCCATTGCCTCGCTCTTTCCTTCCTCCTTCTCCCTCCTCTCCTTCTTACGGATCGGTTTAGGATCTTGTCGTGGCAAGAATTGCTGCAAAGCAGATGAGCAAATTGATGGAATCGGAGGAGGAAACACGGTCTCTTAGTGGCCCAGGAGCGTGCCAGCAGACAACTCTTCAACAGATACTTCGTCATAATGTATGATACTTGAAATCCCAGAAGGAATAGATCACGTTTGGATGATCGCCTGTCACTGACAGTCTCTTCCGTAAACGAGCTTCCATTGTTCATCAGACAGCTCTGAGGCAGGCAGTAAAGCCGAAGAAGTCTGCATCATGTCTTCGATCATCTCTCTTTCCTTTTCAGCATCTGCTTGCTGCTCTGCACCGAGTGCTTGCAGCTTGTCGGGCCAGTGTGACAAGGTCGCTCCTCGACCAACGGCTTCAACTCGCTCCTCCTTGATCCTGGCATCCACTCTCTCAGCTGGCACGTAACACACCATCACTGCTGCTCGCGTAAGGCCCTTCGCGTGTTCCAGCACCATGCGGTCACCAGAGGACAGCTCCGCTTGCTCCTCTCGCGTGGCTCCGATAGCACTTGGGTACGAGCAGTGAACGACTCGGCTATCCCACAGCAGGAGATCCCCAGCGTCCAGGTGACAGCAGATTACATTGTTATGCAAAAGGCTGTCCTTTGGGTGCACTTCCAACCAGTCCTCATCCTGGACTTGGTCGAGCCTAGACAAGTAAAACGTCCTCAAATCTTCGTCAGTGTGCTGCAAGAAGTGATGAGGGAAGGAAAGATGCGAGCCTGCAACGAGGACGTTCCCTTCAATGTAACCAGAGTTTGGCAAGAGATTCACCAATCCTTGCACGCAACAAAAGTCTTGTTTCTTTCTAGGATTCTGATCGATGTGAAACCAGCCTTCTTCGGTCCTATACTCCATACGATTCAGAGTCCTCCAATCTCTCCATAGAAGCAGGCCATCAAAAGAAACGACAAGGTCTTCTGTTTGCCACAAGCCAGCAAAGACTTCTCGAATCTTATGGTGCGATCGTACATACCATGCGCACCTTGACTGGCCAGCTCCACAAAACGGGATGATCCCCCCCTCCACGCAACGCGGCCAATTGCCGTTGTGCCATGTATCGGGATCTGCTCGGTCGACATGATTGGAATAATCTCCTTTCAACACTCGGTTTTTGGCCTTACTTGCAGCCTAGAAGACAAAATCTCAATCACTCATCACACTTCCCGCAACTGACCTCAACAAAGTCCCATGCCAAGTCGACGGCTTTCGCACATTCGTCTTGGCGCAAGACGGCAGAGATGACGGCGAAGCCTTGAGAAGCCAGCTGAGATCTCGTCGTCTCGTTGAAGGCTCCTGCTTTCTCTTCTCCTCCTCTTTGCAGCCTCACATTCCTGGCATGCCACTTGTCTGCCTCCATTTTCTCTGCCGGGTGGTCAAATAGTGGTCAAATCACCTGTCGTTGCGACTGGTTGCCTGCCATGCGACAATGTAGGGGATGGAGAGGGAGAGTCGGTCGGAGAAATGCTTCTTTCCTCTCCTCCCACGCTTCCCTACCACTTCTGGCTTCTTTCCTCTCCTCCCACGCTTCCTTACCACCACTGCCACCTCCTCCTTGTACTCCTCCGCTCTTTTCCTCTCATCGGTTGCCGGCTTCTCTCTCACCGTTTTCCGCCTTCTCCTGCTCAATCCGCCGCACCCTTCCGGAGCTCAGAGGAGGTTGTGCAGAGCCACTTTCTGCATGCAGAGTATGTGCTGGAGGTACCAATGAGACCACGAGTTGCCCGAGGTGTGAGCAAAGCATGCCGGTACAAGAAAGTTCGATAGGTTGTCATGTTATGCCTGACATCAAGGCTCCAGGCCATCCACCGCATCTGCGAGGCAGAGTGGCTGAGACAGAAGCGGCACGTGTCACATCTTCCGCTCCATTTGTTCTCATTGCTTCGCAGGATTTGCATGTTCTGTCGGTTGCCCCTTCGCATGCGTGTTGGCGACTCTCTTAACGCTCCCGGTCGTATGTGGAACTACCGAAGTCCGACGAATCGCAAGTTTAGCTTGGAACTCTCACAGGTGCTGGAGACAGAACAAGGTGGACGCCACAGCAAAGGCAAGATGATGGCTCGAAAAAGGAGAGAACAAGCGAGAGCACAGCTGCAAGACTTGTAAAGCACTCCAAATCTTTGTGGTTCATTAACCATTCATTCCTGCTTTTTTGCTTTGCAAGGTGGAATCGGTTCAAAAATGGCAAGGGCCCGCATGCTCTTGATGAATTCTCCATGAGCAAGGTGCTCGAAACTCTTTCTCAGCTGTAAACGTCTTGCACATGTCAACCTTGCGAGAAGATCACCTGTAACAGACAGGAAGCAGAGAAACCGTTTCCGGCGTTCGGATGGGAAGTGATTGCTCAGCTCCAGCAAGTAATGCATCGCATGGAAGGACGGACAATCTCGCAGGCAACGCATCTCTCCACGCGTCTCCTTGTCTCACATCGGTGCGAGCAGGTTTTGTGTGCCATGGCGCGAATGCAAAACTGTCTCATGGTCCGGGGCCACCAATCAAGACCTCGTTGCCAGGAATCAGAAACAGTTGATAGAGCATGGGTGGCTGAACAGCGAGTGACCAAAAAGGAGAGAGAGCTTCCTGTTCCCTGTACTCTCATCCTTTTGTTCATTTCGTTTCACATGGTGTCCCTCTAGCTGCATTTCTTTCCCCCCCCCCAGAGGTCCATCGCACTTCATCTCAACGCCTGTTGGCTTCGCTCCTAGAGCAGGGAAAGGCTTCCCATGTCCTTTCAACGTGAGTTATCGGCGTCATGGGGCTGCTCTGAATGCTCTTCAGGTTCCATGGAGTTCATCTTGTTTCGGCCTTTCATGCAGCAAGACAGCTCGACATGCTGCCATCGCATCCTTTCGTAATCTCTCTCAACAGTTTACTCCTCTTCTCATCCGATCTGACAGGCTTTCAGGTAGTCAGCCTTTGCGAGAGCATAGCGTCACGGAACATGTCTTCCTGTCATATCTGGAAAGGAGTTTCTTCAATCGACCTCGTTGAGATGGTGACTTGATATGTCAAAGTACAGTTTCCAGATAACTCGTGCGGGTAGTTTGTCGACCTAGAGCATCTTCGTGTCGGTCGGGATCTTGGGCATGCAGTCTGTGGAAGGAAAGAGATGACAACATATCTATCCAGCGCTGACTGTGTGCGCCAGTCTCGCTGATGTCATCGGCAAGCAGATGATCCTGCACAAGCTTCAGGGTAGAGACCTCGCCAAGATTTGTCAGGTTGGTGATAATGAAGCGAGGCATGAATTAAACTTGCAAGATCACAGGCAGTAAATCAGCTGAGCTATCGCAATTCCTGGCTTTTCGTTCGTCTTGCAGGTTTCAGCCAACGCGAGTCGCTTGTCTTGGTGTGCTTTTGACAATCGCGCTTTCAGCAAGATTGATGGAGCCAGCCGTGATGAAACAACTGAGAACCTCTGAGATTTCCTTGATCGCATCGTCCCTTGCAGGCTTGTTGTACAAGTAGTCGAGCCAAAGTCTGACCTGATTTCTCAGGGCTAGGTTACAAGGATCCTGTCCTCTTCCAAGTGCGCAAGCCCTTGTCAGCAATACACCACTGACATCAACTTAGGAGTTCGAAAACAAAATTCTAGGTGACGACACGATGCTGTTAGTGACACCCGAGGAAGCAAAGACGATCGTTAAGGTCCCGTAAGAGCTCTTGCCCTGCTCCAGCTGATCTGAACTCAGGCATTCGCATCGCTCGACATGTTGTCTGGGAAGCTTCACAACGCATTGCAAACCAAGTCAGCAGCTGCAAGCATGGAGAGTTCGCCCATGCAGGAATGAGGTCGCAAAACTTGTCGGGGAGTTACCGAAGGCAACAGGCAGCAGGAAACAGCTACTTGTTTCACAACACATCAAAATCGTTCTCTGAAGAATTTATTGGTTGAGAGAAAAGAGGAGGCTGCTCTTAGATTAGTGGCACTGGTTCTGCCCCATCCCTGAAGCTGGGCCGTCTCGACACTCAGAGTCCTGCGAGGACATGTCAGGTCCACCTCAGATCCAAGACTGCATGACAGCAGCATGCGCACCTGTCCATCATAAGTGACGGAGTTGAGCTTGAGCTCACTCGGCGTGGAGGTGAAGAAGCTGACAGCAGATCAAACTCAGTCCCACTGGCTCATCGAGCGAGGACTCACCCTGGCCCGGGGTAGGAGGCGGCATTGCCATTGGAGAGGAACGGATGAGTGTACATCGCCTCTGGGGACGAGAGAAGTTGAGTGAAAATTCCGAACATCCTGCTCGAGAAAGATCAGTCCTCATCCTCGTTTGCATGGAGCTCGATGATCTCGCGCCCTTTTGCCATGAAGCAAGTCCAACAAGATATCTCTTAGCGAAACTATAAGGAGGAGATAACGGGACTGCTGGGCAAGCTCCAATCAGATCTCGAGTTTAATTGATCCTCATTTCCCTTTGATTCTCTCTAATTCCTCGCACTCAGAGATCCGCATACGACAAAATCTACATGCCTAAACACCATCCTCCACCTCATCTCTCTCTTCCTCTCTTCCTCTCTTCCTCTCGTCCTCTCGTCCTCTCGTTCTCTCTTCCTCTCTTCCTCTCTTCCTCTCCTCCTCTCCTCCTCTCCTCTCCCCTTCTTCCTCCCCTGTCTGCCCGCACACTCGCCCGACTGCCTGCCATCTTATTCCTATTTTCGGCTAGTTAATCTCATAAGCTCTTTGACATTCTTGAAATTATTAGGTAAATCAATTTATTAATTTCGGTTAGTTTGTTTTCGTTTGGCGTGTATATTTCAATTTGGACTGGAGTTTTTCATCAATCATCGCCGTTTTAGAGGGTAGGACGAATGGCGGGTCGACAGATGGGAATGGAGGACAACGAAGAGGGGGGCGAGAGAGGATCTTAGAGAGGACAAGAAACTCACAGAGAGACACGACAATGAACTGAGCATGCACCGATGCTCATGTGCTCCCTGAGGATCAGCATGCCAGGAGACGAAATGGATGGCTCAAGGCTATCAATTCGTTAAAGCTTTTGAGGGACGACAGCTCGTTTCTATCTATCGGTCCAACTTATCGTCTTGTCGATCTCATTGGTTCTGCACTGGCCGATGATGGTTGGATGGAGCTCGATCACGTTTACGTGTGACACCCCAACATTCCCAGCAAAAGAGAAGCTGAACAAGAGCATGTTCCAATGCTGATCGCTGCATGAAATTCTCTCGCTGTTGTTGAGCGAGGTGCTCCTCTGGTCATGCTGCAAGGTCGTGTTAGCAGTCGCAATGCTCGCACACCTTCGCGGCAAGCACGCAGTCACATTGTTCGATCTGACATTTCAGACTCGTCGTCGGATGCTGCCGAGGATACACCAAGCAAAACTCTCACTAGCAGCACTGGACGAGGGCTGTGGGATCGTTCCTCTCGACCAGGGACCAAGGTAGAGTTGCGCTGCCTTGTACTGCCCTGCTGAACACTGTGGCTTCAGCAGGCGAATCACCAAGAATCAGATTCTGAAATCAGCATGTCGAGCGACGATGGTTCAGGTTCAACCTCCTGCAGTCCTCTGCTTGCCCGTTGAATGTTTGAAAGTTTTGAATCGACGGAGAGACGCCTCGAGCTATGCAGCTGATGGGCGTCAGGCGTCGCTACCGTCTCGATCGCAAAACGATTTCACTCCTGTGCGACATCAACGGCAGTCTAGCTCCGTCGAAGAAGTGCATGAGTTCGAGAGGTTTTACGGCAAGCAGCAGAGAGAGCTGGAGAGAGCGGGAAACAATGCTGTACTTAGAGCACAAGACGCTGCCAGGAATCATCGGTGAATCACCCGCAGCAATCTCTCCTTTGTTATGAACTGTGCTTGTAGGGCCAAGGTCGTCGAAAGTGACTCTGAAGATACATCGGAAGATGGCAAGAACATCCTTACCGATCGAATCTTCAGTAATCAAATGCAGGTGGTCGAAGTCACAAGGTGTTGAGCCAAGTGAAGATCAAAAAGGTTTGCAGTGATGCAGGACCCGCCTCTCTGATCCTCTCGCTAGTCTTGGGGCGACAGGAGTGACGACGATGTCTTTTCAGAAAGTAAGAAGTCAATGGAGAGAGGGTAAGACTTCGAAGTCCAAGACCATTGACTTCATGTCACTCCAGGTGACTCGGATCGAGGTCATTCTCGCCCGCAGAGGTTGTTTGTGCTTCCTTGCAGATCTGCCTGACCTCTTCTCCTCCTCATCTCCAGCAGCCACTTGCAGCATCAGAAGCACCCACAATCAGCTGTAAAACGACTTCAACCCATCGAGAAAGACAATGGAGGGTCGAGGAGGTTGAAGACAGCATCCAAGGAGCGCTTGAAGGAGGGTCGCTTGCAAGAGTTGGATCATCATTCCAAGCACAGCCCCGTGCCAACGACTGCGGTAAACCACTGAACATTTCCAGACAGTGTCGCTGACTTGCGAGTCATCCTAAGGGGAAAGAAAAGGACAAGATGGCAAAGAACAACCCGCATCTTCAACCGATTGGAGTTCCGCACAACTTGGGAGGCGCTGCTGTCGCCCCTGGTGTCGGGAAAAAAGGTTCGAAACTGGCTGGTCTGCCAAGTCATGAGAAGCACGCGACGCCCGAAGTGATGTCGCAGAGGAGGAAGACCATGGAGGCGCTGAAAAAGTTGTTCCTCCTCTTGAAGAGCCTTCTCAGTCCTGACATGTTGCTGCAGAGAGATGGCACATGTTTCTTCCAGCAGCGAATTCAGCCATACAGACTCTGAGCTGTCGGATGCGCTAGCCAAGAGCAAGGGATTTCTTTCTAAGGTCTGCTCTGCTGTGTCATTTGCAGAGTTTATTCCATTTTCTTTCTATTGTTTCTTTCCTGTTTAAACTCTGCCCCATCCCTTGGATCACACGTACCTCCAAACTATTTCGTGATCTCACTCGTGCTTCATCTCCCTGATTCAGATCGGTGACTTCGATCAATTCCTCAACAATGTGCAAGAGCAAGTGACACCTGGACAGAAGAAAGTTGTAAGGTGAAGGATGTATCCAGCGAGACTGACGAACAGAACAGAAGAAGAACAAGAAGAAGGCAGAAGACTTGAATGAGCAGCCCAAGTCTAAAGGTGCAAGTGAAGCATCAGAACTTTCATGTTCTTCACACTTTTCGCAATCGCTGTGCAGGTAAGGAGATGAAGACCAAGACGCAGCTGATTGCCGTGTGGTGGCTCTCGCTCCTGGGGAAAGGGAAGGTGAGCATGCCAAACATCTCTCTGCGATGACGACAACAGAAGATTGCTGAGGCTGATTCTAGCAGTCGGATGACGAGCCCGCGAGGTCCTCGAGTGAAGATTTCTCTAGGATGAACTACGTCAGCCCGAGTTTGGATCGAAAGGCCTCGCAGATCGAGGTGAACGCGCAGGAGCGAGAAGGAAGGTGAGAGATTTGTCTGTCTCTGGACACATCCTTCCATCACTGACCCCCTAGCCAAAACCTCACGACCCTCCTGCTCCCTCTTGACCTCCTTGCCCTTTGCGGCAGCTGTCTTCCGTCTTCTCCCTGGCTCTCGGCATCTCTTTCTCAAGCTGACCTTCCGTTTGTGTGTGCAGCCTCTTGGCGGAGGAGAAACGATTGCTGGAAAAGCTCATGAAGCGCAAGGCTCAGCTCACAGAGCAGGAGAGAGCAATCTTAGAAGAGGTCGAGATGGTGAACAAGGAGAAAGAAGAGATCAAGCGAAGAGAAAAAGAGAATCGCGAAGTATCCGTCGTTGCTCCCTCCCTGCTCTTGATCTGTTCGTGAATCAGATGCTGAAGAAACTAAAAAGGGAAAAGAAACAGAGAGCAGAGCAGGACAAGGTAAGAGCACATGATTATGACCCTCCCTCATTACGTTCCCAGGTGACCAACGAGGAGCTCGAACGTCTCTGGAAGGAAAAAGAACTTCTACAGATGAATGTCTCGTCTGTCCGAGCTTCGTCTCAGCTGTTGATGTTTCCTGCAGGAGTACGACCATGTCAGGGAGATCGAGAACCTTCAGAAGGAGAAGAAAGAATGGGAAGAGAAGTCGCAGGTGAACTGTAATGCCCCTTTCCCTCGCGTGACGATTCTCGCTCGTCCGTCAGAAAAAACGAGCTGAACTAGAAGCGATGCGGCACGAAGCAGCAGCACGGCATAAGCGAGCGATGCAACAGGAAGAGGAGCTGAGGATCCTTGAGAGCGCAAAGGAGAGTCAGGCCAAGAAGATAAAGGAACAGGGCGAAACATTGCAGCGAATAAGCTCGGAGCAGGAAAAGCTTGCTCTGGAAGAGGAAGAGAATCAGTGGGAGATCGAGAGCAAGAAACGAGAAGTGCAGGCAGTGAAGGAAAGGAATGAGTCTCAAAGGTTGAGAATCGAGAAGCTGCGGGAGGAGCTGCAAGTGCACGAGGGCCATGCGGTTGACATGGAGCTGGAGATCGCAAGCTTGCAAAAGGAGATGGAAGAGGAGGGCCGGCAGAGAGACGAGCAGAGGCAGGAGATCGAGAGGCTCAGGGCTCAGCATGTGGAGTACGAGATGGTAGAGAAGAAGTACAAGGAAGAGAAGGAAAATTTGCTGCGGGACATGGAGCAACAGGCGGAAATGGAGAAGGAATATCAGGAAATGTTGGTGAGGCTGAAAATAGAGAGGCAAGAGCAGATCCGCCGAGATTCAGAACAGCGAAGGAGGATAGACGAACTCAAGTCCGCTACTCTGCGTGAATCCACCATCCTTGAAAAGCAGAACATGCAGATCAGACAGCTGGAAGAAGAGCTGGAGGAAGCACAGCGAAGAAGCGAAGAAGCTGCCGACGAGGTGGTGAGGCTGAAGGAGAAGCAGCAAGAGAAGAAAAGCAAGGAAGAGGAGATGAGTTTGACCCTGGAAAAGCTGAAGCGAGAGGAAGAGCAGAGAAGGAGACAAGAGGAGGAGAGGAAGGCAGAGATCGAGAGGCTCAAGGCGGCAAAGGCGGCACCGGATTACAGCGATCAGCTGGAGAAATTGAGGAAGGAGTTGGACGAGAGGACACAATCTGCCCTGAAGCAGCAGGAGGAATATGAGAGGCTGAGAACGAGAATCATGGAGGAGGAGGAGGAGATTCGACGTAAGGTGGAGTCACAGAGGCGGTTGGTAGAAATGGAGGAGTCGCAGAAGAAGAGGATGAAGGAAGAGATCAAATCGCTAGAGTCATCTCGCACATCCAACGAGGAGGAGCTGAAGAATCTAAAGAGCGCCAAGGAGGAACATAAGAAACTTGAAAAGAAACAACTCAAGCAGATCAGCAAAGTGAAAGCAGAAGTCGAAGAGTTTCTGCGCAAGGAGAAGGATCGTTCGTCAATGCTGGATAGGCTCCAGAAGACGAGAGCAACACAAGAGGCGAAGATGAAGGAGCAGGAGGAGGAGATCAGCGGACTTGTTGGCACCTGTGAGGAGATGGAAAGTCGCTGCAAGCAGCACGAGCAAGCGATTGATGCGCTGAAGCACAAGATCTCAGACTCATCAGGCCGAGAGGAGCTGCTGGGTAAAGAGCTGGAGCAGCTGAGAAATGAGCACCATGATATCCAGATACGTGACCTTGAGCTCACTAAGGAGCTGGAGAAATGGCGTGGGGAGGTTGAGGAGGCAGAAAAAGTTGCGGAGGAGAAGGAAAAATCGTTGGAAGTGCTGATGAGACAAAAGGAGGAGGCGGAGACAAGAGAGCAGGAGAATCAGAGGCTGATGGAGGAGCTGCTGGCCGAGAAGGAGCTGAGGGATCATAGAGAGAAGCAGAACGAAAGCATTCTCAGCGACATGCTCTCTCAGAAGGAGCAAGCCCAACGCCAGATGCAAGAGATGAAGGAAGAACTTGAACGATTGCGAGCATTGGAGCAGGCAGAGAGGGAGGTGTTCAGGCAGAAGGCAGCAGAACTGCAGAAAGAGCAACATGAAGTGGAAAGCGAGATGAAGAATGTGAAGAAAAAGCATGAGCAACAGAGCACCGCCATGAAGCAGCTGCAGAAGGAGCGGCAGGCACAGGAAGAGCGCGAGAAGAACTTGAAAATTCAATACGAAAAACTGATGAGTGAAAAAGAGAATCGCTCGTCACAGGAGCAGAAGTACAAGGAAGAGATGGAGAAGCTGTCGGAGGAGAAGAAGATGAAGGAAAGAGAAGAAAAGGAGCTGATGCAAGAGATCAAGCGGTTGAAGCAGGAGAAACAGGAGCAGGAGAAGAAGAATTCTGAAAGTCGCTCGAGGATGGACAAGGTGAAGAAGGAGAGAGAAGACCTCAGGAGAAGAGAAATCTTGAGGAAGGAAGAGCTCAAGAGGTTGCAGAAGGAGAGCGAGGAAAGATCGGAACGTGAACGGGAGCAGGCGAGCTACGTCGAGATGCTTCGGGACCAGATGGCTGAGAGGGAAAGTTCGGAGAAAGAGCAGGTGGACAAGATCCGATCGCTGAAGAGAGAGATTGAGGAGCGAGCGGCGAGAGAGAAACAACAGAAGTCGGAGCTTGACTCCATCTTGGAGGAGCAAAAGAGACTACAGGAGCGAGAGCTGGAGAGGAGTGAGGAGCTGAAGCAGCTGATGGAAGAAAGAAGGATGCGAGAGCTGCGGGAGGAGAAGCAGAAGGAGGAGATCGAGAGACTTCTGCATGAGACGAAAACGAAATCAAAGGCCCTCGAGGTGGAGGATGACGCCATGAAGGCGATCGCGGAAGAGAGAAAGCTGAGGCAGAAAGCTGAGGAAGAGGCAAAGAAGCTGCTGGAAGAGATGAATGCAGAGAAGATGCAGATGTCAAGTGAAGCAGAGAAGAAGATTCGCCAGTTGGAGGTTGAGCGACAAGAGCTGCAAGACAAGATGAATCAAGACTTGCAGCTTTTCCAGCAAAATCTCGACGAAGAGAGGAAGGCAATGATCTCCAGGGCCCAGCAGCAGGAGCGAGAACTTGAGGAGCTTCACAAGAGGCAGCGGGACATGGAAGAGAAGATCAAGAAGCAGGAGCGAGTGCTCCTCGAGAAAGAGAAAGAGGCGCGTGCCAAGGAAGAGATCGAGAGAGCCCAAGCAGAAAAGCTCCGACTGCTACAGGGAGAGATTGAGATGAAGGAAGACAACATGCAGCTCATGAAGGTGAGAAAACCACTCGGGGGGGAAGGGGGGGCTAATGACTTTCTGATCTCATCAACAGGAGGAAATGAAGAGACTCAAAGAAGAAAGCGCTGCAAAGCAATCAACTGAAGCACACAAGATGGAAGAGCTCCAGAAACTGCAAAAAGAACTGGAGGAGATGTCGAAGAAGAAAAATCTGGTAGAGGACGAGGTTTCCAGCTTGCAGAAGGAAGTGCAGGAGGTAGTACTGGTGCTGTGCGTCAAAGAGATGATGTGGATCGGGCAGGTCAAGAAGCGAGAGCAGATGCAGGTAGATATTATCTCGAGGTTGAAGAGAGAACAAGCGGAGAAGGAGAAGAAGGAGCTCAGCTTTCAGAAGCAGGTGACGTCACTTCTGGGCATGCCACTGGTGGTCTGACTTGTTGCTCCAGGTGGAAATGATATCTGTGGAGAAAGAAAATGCACAAGTGAAGGTAGGGAGAGGAAGGGTTGAGGCTTACATGCCAGCGGGGGACGGCAAGGACGACCATGACTGGGGCTGACGGTACCTAAAACCAGATCAAAGAGCTCGAGCAGGAGCTCACGGCTATTCGCGACAAGCGAGCTGTTCGTGAAGTATCCGAAGCTGTGGCAAGCGGCAGCAAGGTGAAGCTGACGGCGGAAGAGCAAGCTGCGTTCCAGGCATGTCGACATGGGCGGGAAGATGAGCTGTACAAGGTGAGAGGGAAAGGGAGGGACGCGGTTGTGACTCTTCGAAGCTCCTCGAGGAAAACGTTCACGTCAACGTGCGAAACGAAGCTGGAAACACTCTGCTCATGGTCGCCGCTCAGGTGATAGTCGATGATGGCTGGGAGGGAGTGACACAACATACGCTGCAGAACAACCAGAAGAAGATGTGCAAGGCAAGAAGCTTTTCGCTCTTCTTCTTCTGATCCTCCTCCTCAGATTCTACAGAACCGAGCTGCCGATCTCAACGCGCAGAACCGCATGGGTCAGACAGCTTTGCATTTCTCCTTCGCTTTTGGTACGTCAAGTCTGCTTGCGATGTGCCGTGAGGCAGGCTCAGGCTACATGGAGTTGGGCAAGTGGCTGGTGAAGAAGGGAGCGAGCACCAACATCAAGAACATCGAGGGCATGACGTGCTACGAAGGTGACGCACTCCCAGTTTCACCTACCTCAGCCATGCTGCCTCCCCTCTCCCTCTCTACCCCCCCCCTTTCCTCCTCCCCCCTTCTTTCTACTCCTAATTTCCTCTAGGTCTGAGCAAATCGCAACCTGCCATGCCATTTGTTGAGCGATATGTGAATGGATGAATGTCTGATGTGTATCAACCTAGCCATGTGTCGATCATTCGCCTTGCTCTCTTTGCTTTCTTTCATTCTCCACATTATCGTCGGTCTCTCTCCTGCCCCTCAGCTCGGCACCGGAGGCTCTCGATCAGTCGCTCTTGCGAGGTCGCTATGTTCTTGTGCCTCAGCAGCATCTCCTGCATCTTCTCGTTCTCCTGCATGAGCCGCTCGACTCTGACAGCCAGGTCACCGCCTGCTGGCATGCTGAGGGCGAGCAAGACCCTAGCGCAGAGCTTCTCCTCTCTCCTGCGTCTTCCCTTGATGAGCAGACGGTCCATTCGTGCACGTTGAACACCATAGGCATGCAGCAGTCTCATGCCCCATCGCAGCAGGCACAAGCGACTCCTGTAAGCTGCGATCCTCAACCTGCCGTGGCACCATACCTTGCAGGCGTTGTTTCTCTTCCAGAGCTGCAGTGCGAACTTGAGTATCGCCCGTGTATGCTGTCCCCCATCAGCGTCCGCTAGCCTGGCGATCTGAACATCACCAGCATTGTCTGAGTAAGCTGAAGGGACTCGCTCGGGAGTTGCGGGGCCACAAGGAGCAGGAGAAGCAGGTGTCTCCTTGCTCAGCAGCAGCGGAGTGAGGGGAGGCGAGGGGAAGGCCCATGAACAGTCGCGACTATCCGCGTTTTTAGCCACAGGTTTGAGGGGAGTTGGAGGTTTCAGATGAGAGAGAGAGCGTGGAGGGACTTCGCTGCCGGTGTGAGGGGAGGGAGGGGAGGGAGGGGAGGGAGGGGAGGGAGGGGAGGGACTTGCTTTCCTAGCGCAGGCAACAGGGAGGCATGGCAGCATGGCGGGAGGAGGAGTATCAAGATTCAAACCTGGAGGCGTGGTAGGCCCGCCGGATCTGAAGGCTCCGGCCGGACGGTTGAAGTTCGAACTTGATTCCGGAACTTCGGAAACTTGAAACTTGAAACTTGAAACTTCAAACTTGAAACTTGAAACTTGAAACTTGAAACTTCAAACTTCAAACGTCAAACTTTAATACGTTGAAACTTTCAAACTTTGCTGTTGTCTGCCTCGACATCTCCACCCCCTCTTTCATCTCTTCTACCACCCCTTCTTTTCCAATCAGCGTCACTATGCTGCAGTAATCCGCTGCTCCTTCTCCTCCTCTCCCCTCCACCTCCTCTATCACCTCCACCTTCTCTATCACTTCTTCACTATCTATCACTACTTCACCCTCTACCACCTCCATCTCCTCTTTCATTACTATACCTTCCTCCTACCTCTCCTTCTCGACACGAAAATCGCCTCTACTTTCCCGCTCCCCCCCCCTGCCTCTTTGAAACCTCACGCCCAGCAAGCAGCCACCGCTCTCCTCTCCCCTCTCCCTTCTAGCCTCTCCTCGGTTTCTTTACCTTTGTTGAGAGCCGCATGGACAATTATCATAAGCAGGATCTGAAAGACTTCTTGCACCGAGTTCTCTCGCCTACAGTGCTTGTCCTCCCAACAGGAGATGCCGAGAAGGTTGCTCGCAAGAATGAGCTCTCCTTCATTGACCTGCTCCGTCCATGCTCACTGGTTGACACCTCCCCTATCGCTGTTCACACTACCCGTGATCAACCATGGCGGGTGCCTCGTATGAACATTCGGTTTGTGGAGAGTGGGGAGGTGGAGCAAGCGCCCGAAGAGTTTGTGGATGTTGTGCTGGATGGCGTGATCGCATCTTCGGCTTCCACTGCCCAAGGTCTCATCCCCGAGATCAAAAGCAAAGAAAGCGCCGCCCTCGTCACCCAGGACAAGACAGAGAGAGACCTGGCGCCATGGTTCGTTGACTACCGCGAGGAGCTGCAGCGAGGGCTGCGATGTAGTGACCATGAGTACTTTGACCATCCCATTGCAGCCATCCTTGTTGTCTCTTCGCAAGAGGTGGATGTGGTAAGTGGAGAAGGGCTCGCCTTGCTCTTGTCTACTTGTGCTTCCTGCATTGACATCTGAGCTGTGCGGCAGATCTCCAAGCTTATGGCTCTCATGTCCATCGATGCTCTTCCCGCCTTGTTCCGAGAAGGCCTAATGGACCCCAACATGCTCAAGCATTATGTGCTGCTCCATGACAACCAGGAAGATGGAGGAGCGAGAGAGCGAGCAGAGGAGAGTCTTCGTCTGATGTGAGCCTTGCCACAGCCATGGTCATGCCGTGATGTTGCTCATCGCAGGAAGGAGACGCTCGGAGCTCCCTCCTGCTCCCTCCTGTGCATCAACTCGAACGAGAAAGGCGCTGCCGGCCCAAGTGACGACATCTGGACATGCCACAGGCCTCACGCTGCTAAGATGGACATTCCGCCGCTAGAAGAGAACAGGAGAAGAGGAGCCTTCTTGTCTCCTGCTGACTGCGACGCCATCACCCGCTTCGTCTCCGAGTTCGTCACCAAGTCTCTTGTGCCTCATATGGACAAGCGGGTCCGCATGCTTAATAATCAGGTGGATGTAGAGACAAGAGGGAAGAAGAAGAATCGTGAGGACGAGAAAAGGAAGGGAGGTGGAGGTAGAATATGCAGGACGGGGAGCCAGGAGAGAAATAGATGAGGACGAGGAGATGTGGGAAGCATCTGATCGCTAAGCAGGTGACGGCGGTGAGGAAAGGAATCAAGAATCAGTTCAAATCCTGGGGGAGCTCTCTCTTCGGGAAGCCTTCGGTACCCTGCGCTATCGAGCTTCTGTAGAACTGTGTCTAAGCTGTTGTTGCCATAGGGTGAAGCAGGACGGGAAGGTTTCATCGAAGGGTCCGAAGCTTCTGGCCCCATCTACCTCTACACGTCCACAGAGGGACAGGTTCCTCTCCTCCTGTCTTGTTGCCAGCCTTCTCCTTTGGTCTTGCTTACCTTCCCTTCGTTTCCATTTCTTTACCTCCCTGCTTGTCTTGCTGCCTTGTCACTTGGAGATTGCAGATTCGAGCGCTAGCAGATCTTGCGTTCATGCTCCATGACTATGACCTTGCGTTGTCACACTACAAGCTTGTTCAGGGTGATTTCAAGGTTTTCTCTTCCATCTGTCCTCCTGCTTCCTGCTTGTATCCCCTCTTCCTTCCATCCCACATGTCGCTTTCTTCTTTCCTCTCTCCCCATCGTTGCCCGCTGTGATTCTCATTCTCATTGTTGATTCTTGCAGCGCGACAAGGCATGGAGGCATGTGGCAGGTGCTTCTGAGATGTCAGCGATTTGTCACTTCATGATGGTGATGAACAAAGACCAGCAGCTCTTCGTTTCTCTTTCACTCTCTCTCCTCCTCCCTCCTCGCTTTCTCTCCTTGATTCACTTTCTTGTTGTCTTCTTATATTTTTCAACTTCAGTCACCCGATACGAAGAAGCATGTTCAAGATGAGTACCTAGACAATGCTTTCATCAACTATCAAAGATTCGGTCGGGTCCGCCACTCCCTACGCCTCTCTTTCCTCCATGCCGACATTCTCCGAGCTCGCGGCAAATTTGTTGAGGCAGCTGAGAAGGTAGGAGAAGCGAGCACACGCTTTCTGCTTGACCTCCTTCTTTTCTCGATCATGTCCGGGTTGTGAGTTTCCTTCCATAGCTGATCCGTATCACGGCAACCGACAATAACGATCTTCGGTCTGCCATCTTGTATGAGCAGGTGACCCCCCGCTTCCCCTCCTCTCCATCCTCTTGTGTCTCTGCTCTTCGTTCCACTCTCAACCTTGTCCGCTCCTCACGTTTACCCAGGCCGCTCTCTCATTCCTGCAGGTGCGAGGAGGAGGAGGAGCACAAGTGAGAAAGTACGCGCTGCATCTGGTGCATGCGGGGCATCGCTACCTCAAGGGAGGGCACAAGGCGCACGGCCTGCGCTGCTACCTCGCGGCGCTGCAGGTCTACGAGACAAGAAACTGGACGCACATCGACGACCATCTCTACTCGGCGCTCGCCAAGCACTCAATTGCCATGCACATGCTCCCACAGGCTGTCTCCTTCTACGTGAAGCTGCTGGGTAACCAGGAGGGCAAGCCCGCTGAGCGTCAGCTCATCTACCTCCGCGACTTCGCGCTTGTCATGCGGCAGCACTGTCCCCAGCTGGTGATCTCAGACCTGCGGCTGCCGCTCATCAAGGACACGGGGCTGAGCATCTGCCGTAGTGAACCCAACGCTGATGAGGAGGCTGTGAGCGCGAACCTGAGCAAGGACTGCATCCTGACGTGGAGCGACCTGGAGGAGGCGCTTGTGGACGCTCGCAGATGGAGAGAGCGGGTGAGGCAAAGCAAGAGCACGTTGCAGAACTTGCGAGCAGCGCTACCTGAAGCTGCCCCTCGCAACAAGCGATGCATCGTGGTGGACGAGGAGACGACTTTCAGCCTCGACCTCGTGAACCCGTTGCAAATCCCTCTGGAGCTGAACAGCTTCACCCTTGAGTATGAGTTCTCCTCCTCCTCGCTCCCTCCACCTCATCAGGACGTTGCAGTGCCCAAGGAAGTGGAGTGGAAGGAACACGAGGAAGAGAGCGCGATGGAGATCGAGCAGCAAGACCTGACGCTTGAGCCTTCCTCTCGGACGCGGGTGTCGCTGCACATGAAGGCGAAGAAGGAGGGATGGGTGAGAGTGAAGGGCGTCAGGTGGAAGCTAGTGGGGGTTGTCCGTTGCGTGCACCACTTTGACCTGAAAGGGAAGAGGCTCAACGACTCCAAGGCGAGGAGGATGCAACGCGAGTACCAGCGGGACGAGCGACTAGATATGCAGTGCGTCCCTCCCATGCCTAGACTGCAGGCGACGGTGAGTGGACTACCTGACACGGCTCTCTACGGCGAGATCGTCCGCTGCCTCCTCCACGTTCGTAACGTCGGGAGTAGAGCTGCTTGCGGCCTACGGTTGGCGGTCTCGCACCCTGCCTTCTTCTCCAGGGCGAGTGGGGAGGCTGAGACTGTCGAGTATCCTCAGGGATATCTGTCGCGCAAGACAAACAAGCACGAGGAGGAGAGCGTTCCTCTGCATCCCTTTGATGCCAGCTGGGAGCTTGAGCCTCCTGTGCTCGAACTCTGCTGGGGAGAAAAGAGTGTGCTGGAGGCAGGGCAGGCGGTTGCTATCCCTATCTGGTACAGGGCACACCGACCAGGAGCGCAAAACTTCAAGCTGCTGCTGCACTACACCTCGACAGACTCGAAGAGCGCGATGCGATATCGCCTGCTGCGGGTGAGAGAAGAAGGATGAAGTGTTAGACAGTGCAAGGAAGAGGAACGAGGATGCAGGGTGAGGAGGGGAGAGAGAAAGGATGTTGAGCAATGTTCACAGCTGGAAGCATCGCAGTATGTCCTGCCTTCCCTCAAAACGTCAGTCAACCTCCGATCGTCAGGTGAAGTCGATCAGAGAGATTCACAGTTGACTTTCTCCATCAGCCTCGGACATGGACCGGCTGACCCTCGCGCTCACCGTCGACTGTGTCTTGAACTCCTCTTCCCTCAGCGACAACACGCCCTTATCGCCCATGCACGAGGCAGCCAAAGGGAGGAGCAAGGCTGAGGCTTCTCTCAAGCTCCTCCAGGTTCTTCTTCTACTCCCTTGACGCAACTCGTGACGAGCATGCAGGTCATGTGCTTGAGCTCGCGATGGCGAGCGATGCCGCTTGCACAGGCAGGAGGAACCACGCAGTTTTCTGTGGCCGGAGGGAGCAAGGCAAGAAGGAAGCATAGTCTGGGGCAGGGCTCACGCACTCCGCAGGTAGTCATCTACCTTCAAGTGACTCCATCTGGAGATGCCGAGCAGAAGGTGAAGGAGGATGAAGAAAAGATGCGTGTAAGAGTTGAGAACAGGGAATGACAAACTCGAGCGTTTCCTTCACCCCCGACTGCAAGCACATGGCGCTGTCCTCCTCTCCTCTCACGGGTCTGCTCTCATCGTAAGTTGCTGCATGGCTGATCTTGCTGCAGGTTTCTTTCACTACTGGGAGCAGCGGAGGTTCTGCCTCATCCACCCACTGCATGACACCAGGGAGCTTCAGGTGACTGACCCTCCACCTGCAAGGAGTGTGAGGAGAGCACAGGACGACATCGGAACCCGCCTCGTCCTTCTGTGGAGCACGAGTGACAGCGGCCGCATGGGTTGTGTCTTCCTCTCCTGTGGAGAACCTGAGTCGCCTGCCCGGCCTGACATCGACTCGCTGCTCTACAACGTGTGACTCCGCCTTGAGCTGTTTCCCACCTGACATGCCAGCAGCACTCGGACGCGAGCCTGCAGAAAGAGCATTCGTTCACGCGTGATGGTGACAAGCTTGCGAGGCTTGCGGCGCACTCCTTAATGGAGAAGCAGCAGCTTTGCCCCCTTCAGGTGGATGAGAGAGGAGGAGGCAGGGACCATGACTAGTCGACAGTTACGAGTTGAGGGGCCAACTGACGTCACGCTTGAGGCCTGCGGGAAGCCTATGGTGGTACCGATCACCATCCTCGTCTCTAACAGCGGGTGGTCGCAGCCTCTGAGGTCTCTCTGTCCTCCTTGGCCTTGCACGAGCTGACAGTTACTCGTGACAGCATCAGCTTCGAGGCTCTTGCGCCTTCCGAGGCCTACGGGAGGTACGATGATTGTCCATCTAATCTTGCTTGTCTCATCTGCTGTGAGTAGCACGGAAGGTCAAGCGATGGTAGAGAGAAGTTGGGACTTCGAGTGGGGAGGATGTCTGCGAAAATCGTTGAAGCTTCAGGCCCGAGAAAGAGAATGCGTCAAGCTCTCAGTCTGCGTTTATCGTCCGGGCGTGTACAACCTCAACAGGTTTCGTATCACTTTCTCGCAGCTTCAATTTCCCTCTCAGGATTTTTCTGCCTCAAACTTCCAGCACCTGCTGCGAGTGCATGCTCCATAGAAACTACCCCGGAACTACCCCATTCCTAGCAGATGCATTTCATGTAAATACGAAATCATATTCGGACATGCGATGCGTTCGAACGAATTCACTTTGACTGGTACAAATTCAATTTCCTTTGCATTCTTTCCAGCTGCACATCGAGTTACGAAACAAGTTAACCGAACATAATCATCTCACCATTCACTGTCAAAAAGATTGCAATCCCCGCAGGACCAGGGATATTGCTTGTTGCGAATGTGGATGTAAGGGAAGGTGTTCTTGGCAGGGTCCATGTGCGGATCGTTGTGATGGTCCATGTGCACCTTGTACTCCCACGCTCCGACAACACCGACAAGCACGAGGCCGCCAAGGGAGACGTTCTTCCAGAAATCAGACTCTGCAAGATACGTCAGTGCTGCATCTTTCTTGTAATGGTTGAACCGTCAGCTCCGCCATGAGCGAAACTACGAGAAGCCTTGGGTGCTGTACGAGGGATGCGGAGAGCCTTGCTTGCCACGGAGGCTAGCAGCAATGTTATTTCTTGAAGCATGCAAGGAAAAGTGTGGATACGAAGACCAAGAATTCAAGAGGAGGCAGCAGCGGGCAAGAAATTCAGTGGTTGACAAGTTGATGGGGCAAGAGTCGGAAGAAGAAAGACAAAAATGAGGTTTGAGGAGATGGAAATTCGGCCTGTTCAAGGGAAGGGAGAGGAAGGAATACGAAGAGGGTTGATGGCGAACTCGGAGCAGAGGAGCAAGTAGCGAATAGCGAGGATCGAAGTGCACGGGGGCGAGGGGAGTTATTATGCTGTGAGGGTAGAGCGAGAAGTGAGGAGCGGGTAGGGGAGAATTTTGAGAAAGGTCAGAAGAGGCGAGGGGAGAATGGAGAGAGAGGAAGGCAGATATCGAAGGGCGAGGAGGAGAGGGAGAGGAGAAAAGAGGGGGAGAGTGAGGTGGGAGGGGAAGGTAGATGTGGGAGGGTGATGAGGAGAGGGAGAGGAGAGCGGGGAGGGGAAGGCGGGTGCAGGAGGGAGAGGAGGAGAGGGAGAGGAGAAAGGGGCGAGGAGAGGAGAGTGGTTTTGGCATTCTGTGCAAGGGGTCGCACTCACAGAGGCGCTGCATTGCGGCGAGGGCGTTAATTAGGGTTACTAGGACCCAGGTCCTAGATATAGTATAACCCACACCACCCACACGTTCCACCCTACCCTCTATGCTTGACCCTGGTCCATCGCTAAACAAAGTCCCTTGGGGTGGGTAGTTCATATGTCAGTTGAAGACCTATGATACGGGGGTGGGGGTGGGTGATGATACAACTCTTCATCATCACCCCCCTTGTTTCCGTCAAAAAGTACCCCTCCTTGTACCCCTACCCCCTACCTTGGACAGATATGGACCCCTGTAGGAGCCACACGTAGTGGACGCTGACACCACTAGTCTACCATCTTTCGCGGTTCACATCATTTTTCCAAGCAGTTACGTAGCGGTTATTTGGAGGTTACTTGGCGGTTTTCAGGGCGCATCGAACGGACTGCCATCATTCGCGAACGAGATAGGCATGGCGGGTTTGAACATGGCGCTGGCGATCGCGGCGATCGTGGGGACGAACTATGTTTGCTCCATGGTCGGTCTCAGCAATACAGTTACCATCATTCTCCAGGTGCGCAACAGCTGACTCTGCTCCCGCTCCTGCTACTCCTATAACCGCCCACTGAGCTCCCCCCCACCTTCCGTCTCGTTTGTGCCTGTTGCTGATGATGTATGTCGCGAGGCTGGTCAGGAATGTTGAGGCACCTGAGCCTTTGCATCTTCCTTGTGTTTTCATTCGCTACATATTCTCTATGTTGTTCGAAAGCCTGCTGATCACTTTGACCGCGTCTTATGCCTTCAAACAGTTCCTGGTCGCCTTGGTTCTACCTCGGTCTGTGTGCCTATCTCAAGGTTGAGGGTAGAGTGACATCCTGTTAGCATCATCGCTCCCTTCTTTGCTAAGAAGATTGTCGGATCTCCCGCTCCTCCGGTGAAAGACCTTCAGATCTTTCAGGTTGACCATCGCAATGTTGATTGTAAGGCAATAACGGGATGCCAGGGCTCGGAAGTTGAACTTGGAAATGGAAAAGTGACAGTCGTTGAGTTCTGGGCAACATGGTGTCCTCCTTGTCGCAAGTCGATCCCGTGAGTCAAGTACAGAACTGTCAAGTCAGCCAGACGCTGACTTGAAGGTGTAGTCACCTCAACAGCATCTTCGACAAGTATAAGTCCAAGGTGTTCAAGTCATGATCGACCAAACCGTGGATGACGCGAGTACCTCAGGACGTTCAGATCATCGGGATATCCTCCGAGTCGGACAAGACCATCAAGGTCTTGAGTCCTCTCGCGGCAGACACGCTTGACAAGTCTGTAGGCCTTCTGCGACAAGAACAAGGAAGTGGCTCCCAAGTACACTATCGGCTTGGACACCACCGGGAGTGTGTCTCGAGGATATCCTGTTCGCTCTTCTTGCTCTTCTGCGCATGTCCTCTCATCCTTAGCCCGCAGGTGGAAGGAATTCCAGCAGCCTTTGTCATCGACAAGAAGGGCATCGTCGCCTGGCAGGGTCACCCGATGTCGGACATGGAACAGGTCACGTGACGTGCAAGGGGTTTCGCCCTGAGTCGCCTTGGATTGCAGGCTATCAACGACGCTCTGAAGAGCGAATCATGAAGAAGGCATCCTACCATAACAAGCCAAGGATCATCGGATTAGCTAGGCAGGATGATTGGCAGCTCACTAACCTCTTGTCGTAGAGCAGTTTTAAGTTTGCTTGACTTCACGTGACACTCGAATCAAAGGTGGTGTCAGGCTCAGCTCGCCCTGCAAACCATCACACTATACGCGCTATCACACACTGTCAAGGCTACCTTTGCCCTGTTGATGACATCAGCTGAGTCAACTTGCGGCCCGCGCAACATCCGAGTACATCCCTGGGATATGCGACCGTGCCAGAGTGGGTCTGAGCAGTACGAGGAGATTCCACCTGGACTGGTTCATGCCGACTCGGAGGCTGTGCCTGATGATGCAGGACGCTACGAGGTACACATCCCTGGCATGCCGATCTGCCAGTGTCCGACCGAATGTGATGGATGTCAGCGCGAGCTCGATCCCTCCGTTGCTGCACATCATCTCCAGACCTGCAAGCGTCGAACCTCCAAGCTTCCTATTGCGCATGACAACCTTACTCGAACAGTCAAGGCGATGCTCAGCGAAGCCGGCCTCTCAGCATGGGCACAAAACCAAGGCCGACATCCTCATCCCTCGGGCCTGGGATGATGGCGGACGTTACGTTGGTCCACCCCACATTGAGAGCTCGACACCACTGGGGTGCTTGCTGCTGGTCGGCGAGCTCGCCTGCCTCGGGCCGATCAGTGCCGCACAGCCCCGGTCCCTGGGCATTGATTCAAGGCGTCGCCGCCGTCACGGGTGGTGTTGGTCTCGGCTACCGCTGACTCGGAGGCTAGTGAGGAGGACCTGGATGCGTCACCTCGAGCGGTACCGTGCTCCTGTGCCCAGCCTCCCTCTTTCCGCTTCTCGCTGTGCGCTGTGTGCAAGCAGGTTTAGCTTGTTCCTGCTTTGTTTTGCAGGCTTGAGGCACTTTTTACCTTCTGCAAGTAAATCTTCGTCCGCTGCCCCCGGCGGACCCCCGGCGGACGCCCGGGCAGCGCCGGCTCCTTGTCGGCGGCTGCCCTTTCTCCGTCCGTGGCCGCCAGCTTTGCGGCGGCGGCGGACGTCTCGACTGATCAGTCGGCTGCCTCCGGGTATCGCGTCTAGTAAGGGGGTTTCATTTCGGACGTCCCCTTCTGCTGCTTGTTACCCCTCCTACAGGCTTGCTTGATTGCTTGACCCTTCGGCTGCTTGTCTGCGCGGCTTCGCGCGTGGGCTGGCGGTGGTCGAAGATTTACGGTACCGGGTCTGCTGCCAGATGCCCGAAGTAAATCCTATCATGGCACGTCCGCGGTGCTGGTTACGAAGTTTTGGTCTTATTTTGTTGTGTGTGATTATGCAGCTTCTCGCTGTGGAGCTGTGTGCATGCAGGTTTAGCTTGTTCCTGCTTTGTTTTGCTTGAGGCACTTTTTACCTTCTCATGATGAAGGGCGATATCCACATCCCTGGAATCCGCGATCGAGGGTCCGAGCACTGCCGTACGAGGGCTTGATGGCGCACGTGACGTTGGTCCACCCTTACATTGGTAGCTCTCCCGACCTGACCAAGTGGGGGGAGGTCAACCTCGACGCCCTCCATGTTGCAGCGTCTGAGAAGATTCGCAAACACCGCGCTGCATATGCTATGACTACTCCTCCTCGAGCGTTCATCCCTCTTGCCATCTCGACGGACGGTACCCTGCCTCCGCTTCATCTGGTATCTGGTGGACATCATTGCTCAGCGCTCGATGCCTCTTGAGGATGCGGCGTTTGGTCGGCAGTCGGCACTTTGTGCCTGATGACGGACCTGCTGCTGAGGTCTTGGCTCGCAAACGCGCCGCCACCTATCAGCGCCTCACTATGCAGCTGACGCTGGAGGCGCTCCTGTCTGGTGCGAGGCGCATGACGCCCTTGCGGGCGCAAGCACTCCTCGAGCCAGAGGACAGCTCCTCCTCGGACTTTGTCGAGTCGCCCGAGGAGGAGTCTCGGAGGCTAGCGAGGAGGACTACCTCGAGCGGTACCGTGTTCCTGTGTCCAGCCTCCCTTCCGTCCGCTGCCCCAGGCGGACCCCCGGGCAACGCCGGCTCCTTGTCGGCGGCCGCGCCCTTTCTCCGTCCGCGGCCGCCCGCTTTGTGGCGGCAGCGGACGTCTCGCCGGACTGACAGTGGTCAGTCGGCTGCCTCCGGGTATCGCGTCTAAGGGATTTTATTCCTCCTGCATGCTCCTGCTGCTTGTTGCTTGATTGCTTGACCCTTAGGCTGCTTGTCTGCGCGGCTTCGCGCTTGGGCTGGCGGTGCCGCGTCTGGGTGCCAGCAGTGCTGGTTCTTTTCGGGCTTGTGTTTTGTGTGTGATTGTGCAGCTTCTCGCTGTGTGCCTGGAGCCCAAGCGCGAAGCCGCGCAGACAAGCAGCCTAAGGGTCAAGCAATCAAGCAACAAGCAGCAGGAGCATGCAGGAGGAATAAAATCCCTTAGACGCGATACCCGGAGGCAGCCGACTGACCACTGTCAGTCGAGACGTCCGCTGCCGCCACAAAGCGGGCGGCCGCGGACGGAGAAAGGGCAGCCGCCGACAAGGAGCCGGCGTTGCCCGGGGATCCGCCTGGGGCAGCGGACGGAGGGAGGCTGGACACATGAACACGGTACCGCTCGAGGTAGTCCTCCTCGCTACCTCGCTAGCCTCCGAGTCAGCGGTAGCCGAGTCAGTGGTAGCCGCCCGTGACGGCGGCGACGCCGCGGCCGCGAATGTCCAGTAAATCCTAGCAGCCCAAGGACCGGCGTGACCCGACCGATGCCGGGGAGGAAGCAGGCGAGCTCGGACCAGCAGCAAGCACCCCAGTGGTGTCGAGCTCTCCGGAGGCACCCGACGTCACAGTACAGGATTCACAGTGAGGGACGGAGACGCCTCCGAGTCGCCAGCTCCGCGCCCATCATCGGGGCCACTCGAAGGGTTTCCCCCATCGGAGTCGGAGACCTCCGGCGAAGACTCCTCGGGCGACTCGACAAAGTCCGAGGAGGAGCTGTCCTCTGGCTCGAGGAGTGCTTGCGCCCGCAAGGGCGTCATGCGCCTCGCACCAGACAAGAGCGCTTCCAGCGTCAGCTGCATGGTGAGGCGCTGATAGGTGGCGGCGCGTTTGCGAGCCAAGACCTCAGCAGCAGGTCCGTCATCAGGCACGAAGTGCCGACCAAACGCCGCATCCTCAAGAGGCATCGAGCGCTGAGCAATGATGTCCGCCAGATACCAGATGAAGCGGAGGGTGTCAGGATGCAGGGTACCGTCCGTCGAGATGGCAAGAGGGATGAACGCTCGAGGAGGAGTAGTCATAGTCATGGCATATGCAGCGCGATGTTTGCGAATCTTCTCAGACGCTGCAACATGGAGGGCGTCGAGGTTGACCTCCCCCCACTTGGTCAGGTCGGGAGAGCTACCAATGTAAGGGTGGACCAACGTCACGTCCGCCATCAAGCCCCAGCTTGTTCCTGCTTTGTTTTGCTTGAGGCACTTTTTATCTTCTGCCAGTAAATCCTATATATAGCCCTCTGGGTGCCAGCAGTGCTGGTTCTTTTCGGGCTTGTGTTTTGTGTGTGTTTGTGCAGCTTCTCGCTGTGGACTGTGTGCCTGCCGGTTCAGCTTGTTCCTGCTTTATTTTGCTTGAGGCACTTTTTACCTTCTGCCAGAAAATCCTATACCTCTCGTACTGCTCGGACCCTCGGTCGCGGATTCCAGGGATGTGGATATCGCCCTTCATCTTGCGGCCATGAGGATGGGAGGGTACCTGCCGTCGAGAACGAGGATCCCCCACTGTATCGATGACGCTCTGAAGACCAGCTTCGTTCAGCATCGACCGAATCGTACGAGTAAGGTTGTCATGCGCCGTGGGAAGCTTGGAGGATCGGCGTTTGTAGGTCTGGAGATGATGTGCAGCAACGGAGGGATCGAGCTCGCGCTGACATCCATCACATTCCGTCGGACACTGGCAGATCGGCATGCCATGGAGATAGCAGTCGAGCATCTGAGCATAGCGGTGCGGGAAGGCCTTGCTTTGCCTTGAGGGGGTAGTAGCTCGAGACTCGCATCGGAGAGTGGCTCAGGTCTCGCTCAGGAAAATGAGCGAAGATGGTAGACTGCAAGACCCTATCCTGCGACTTGAGCGAGTGTGTCCTGCGGCTGTGCAAGGTGAGGATATCACGCTGCTGATCGGTCAGCGCAGCGCGAGCATGCACATGGCGAGGGAAGACGCGCATGACAAGAGGGGTCACATTTCGCTGCGCAGGGGGAGGAATGAAGTGCTCATGAGACGAGTCGACGAGAGCGCGCAAACCAGGGATGTGTACTTTTTGTGTGTGTTTGTGCAGCTTCTCGCTGTGGACTGTGTGCCTTCCGGTTCAGCTTGTTCCTGCTTTGTTTTGCTTGAGGCACTTTTTACCTTCTGCCAGTAAATCCTGTGTGTGTACCACAGATGCCGAGGGGCGTCCTGCGGATGTGTACCACAGATGCCGGGGGGCGTCCTGCGTCATCAGGCACAGCAGGTACAGGATTTACTGGCAGAAGGTAAAAAGTGCCTCAAGCAAAACAAAGCACTGGGAACAAGCTGAACCGGCAGGCACACAGTCCACAGCGAGAAGCGGCACAAACACACACAAAACACAAGCCCGAAAAGAACCAGCACTGCTGGCACCCAGACGCGGCACCGCCAGCCCAAGCGCGAAGCCGCGCAGACAAGCAGCCTAAGGGTCAAGCAATCAAGCAACAAGCAGCAGGAGCATGCAGGAGGAATAAAATCCCTTAGACGCGATACCCGGAGGCAGCCGACTGACCACTGTCAGTCCGGCGAGACGTCCGCTGCCGCCACAAAGCGGGCGGCCGCGGACGGAGAAAGGGCAGCCGCCGACAAGGAGCCGGCGCTGCCCGGGTGTCCGCCTTGGGCAGCGGACGGAGGGAGGCTGGACACAGGAACACGGTACCACGGCGCATGACAACCTTACTCGTACGATTCGGTCGATGCTGAACGAAGCTGGTCTTCAGAGCGTCATCGATACAGTGGGGGATCCTCGTTCTCGACGGCAGGTACCCTCCCATCCTCATGGCCGCAAGATGAAGGGCGATATCCACATTCCTGGAATCCGCGATCGAGGGTCCGAGCAGTACGAGGGCTTGATGGCGCACGTGACGTTGGTCCACCCTTACTTTTTATCTTCTGCCAGTAAATCCTATAACTCCCTTACATTGGTAGCTCTGCCGACCTGACCAAGTGGGGGGAGGTCAACCTCGACGCCCTCCATGTTGCAGCGTCTGAGAAGATTCGCAAACACCGCGCTGCATATGCCATGACTACTCCTCCTCGAGCGTTCATCCCTCTTGCCATCTCGACGGACGGTACCCTGCATCCTGACACCCTCCGCTTCATCTGGTATCTGGCGGACATCATTGCTCAGCGCTCGATGCCTCTTGAGGATGCGGCGTTTGGTCGGCACTTCGTGCCTGATGACGGACCTGCTGCTGAGGTCTTGGCTCGCAAACGCGCCGCCACCTATCAGCGCCTCACCATGCAGCTGACGCTGGAAGCGCTCTTGTCTGGTGCGAGGCGCATGACGCCCTTGCAGGCGCAAGCACTTCTCGAGCCAGAGGACAGCTCCTCCTCGGACTTTGTCGAGTCGCCCGAGGAGTCTTCGCCGGAGGTCTCCGACTCCGATGGGGGACACCCTTCGAGTGGCCCCGACGATCGGCGCGGAGCTGGCGAGGCGTCTCCGTCCCTCACTGTGACGTCGGGTGCCTCCGGAGAGCTCGACACCACTGGGGTGCTTGCTGCTGGTCCGAGCTCGCCTGCTTCCTCCCCGGCATCGGTCGGGTCACCAGTAAATCCGATCAGTAAATCGGGTGCCAGTAAATCCGACAGTCCCTCCTTGTGCTTCAGCAAGAAGATCAGTGAAAGATTCAGCCTTGTAGATGCCGCGGAGCTCAGTAGTGTCCGTACCGCCCGATGAAGGTCACCCGCAGTGAACTGATGAATCGCCAACTGTCTTTGGCGCTCGCTCGCAGAGGTGAGGGACAGCGTAGGTCGCGGCGGAAGATGTTGAAGGGCGATATCCACCGTCCCTGGAATCCGCGATCGAGGGTCCGAGCAGTACGAGGGCTTGATGGCGGACGTGACGTTGGTCCACCCTTACATTGGTTTGCTTGAGGCACTTTTTACCTTCTGCCAGTAAATCCTATGTACCTGTATAGCATAGGATTTACTGGCAGAAGATAAAAAGTGCCTCAAGCAAAATAAAGCAGGATCAAGCTAAACCTCCAGGCACACTGCGCACAGCGAGAAGCTGCACAATCACACACAAAACACAAGCCCGAAAAGAACCAGCACTGCTGGCACCCAGACGCGGCACCGCCAGCCCAAGCGCGAAGCCGCGCAGACAAGCAAGCAACAAGCAGCCGACGTCACAGTGAGGGACGGAGACGCCTCGCCAGCTCCGCGCCGATCGTCGGGGCCACTCGAAGGGTGTCCCCCATCGGAGTCGGAGACCTCCGGCGAAGACTCCTCGGGCGACTCGACAAAGTCCGAGGAGGAGCTGTCCTCTGGCTCGAGAAGTGCTTGCGCCTGCAAGGGCGTCATGCGCCTCGCACCAGACAAGAGCGCTTCCAGCGTCAGCTGCATGGTGAGGCGCTGATAGGTGGCGGCGCGTTTGCGAGCCAAGACCTCAGCAGCAGGTCCGTCATCAGGCACGAAGTGCCGACCAAACGCCGCATCCTCAAGAGGTGACGGAATACAAGTTTGTTAGACTTGTACTAGTCCAAAGTCACGCAGATGTCACATCGACCTTAGTTGTAACAAGACAGTTTTTGCTCAAGACCGAGTTTAATGCACACAAATCCAGAATTGAGGAGCACATGAGAGATAGACTGTATGCTAGGATGTGAAACCCAAGCATCCAGACATGAGGGGACCTTAGCAAGACGGCTAGGAAGGCCTCCTCTTCGTCACATGTACTACATTGCCGCCTGCCACGTAAGTCGTCTTGGTTTACAGGAGAGTTTTTGTTAACTCGGCGCTATCTGACTGGCACGGCTGGCATACGTTCCATCCTCCCCCCGAGTTTCTGAAATAGTACGTTACATCGGACGTCAGAAAGTCACTCAACCAAGAGAATGTCAGCAGATCCAAGTCAAGATACGATGATACAACGTCAAGTTCACAGTCATGCTGAGTGGGAAATAACCATTCAAGGATTGTCCATTCTGAAGAAGATTTTCATGCAGGGCTGTTAGATGTGCGGCACAGAGATAAGGGGAGATGCCTGGCGAGCGGATGCAATGACGAGAGATGGAGGATAGGATAAGAGAGTCTGAAGAGAGAGAAGATAAGAGAGATAGAGAGGGAGAGAGAGAGTGCCCGCCGGCATTTGAAGACCAAAAGATAAATTTTTGAACCGTAAAGAACTTGTGACCAGAGATTGCTGCCGCAAGATTGGAACATCCGTTTCAAGGCATTTGAAGATTGTTGTGCAGTAGTACCTTGTTCGCCGATCCAGAAGTAGCTCCAGTTATGCATGCCACAGCCTAGCTCCATGACATGAAACTTCCGCCAGATCTCCTGGGAGTTCCATTTGATCCTACTCAAAGATCAAGAAAATAAGAATCGAATCAGCTTCAAGTGCGTTTCCACACGGTTAAGCAGATATTCGACCGACCAATCTGGCTGGGGAAAGGCTTGTTTTTCCTATTCGAAGATCAATCAAACAGATTGAGGCTGAGATGAGAGGCCTAAACAACTTGCGGCTAGAGAGAGAGCCTGATTGAAGAGAAGAGTCATCCGAATGTGTAAGGCTTGATAGAAAGTTGCATGAATTTTCAACAGTAACGGAAAACAATACCAAGAAAGAAAAAACTCCAGTAAACAATTCAACTAACCAAATATAAGATCAACATGATTGAGCATGTAATCGGGGCCCATAACCGACGGAATACAAGTTTGTTAGACTTGTACTAGTCCAAAGTCACGCAGATGTCACATCGACCTTAGTTGTAACAAGACAGTTTTTGCTCAAGACCGAGTTTAATGCACACAAATCCAGAATTGAGGAGCACATGAGAGATAGACTGTATGCTAGGATGTGAAACCCAAGCATCCAGACATGAGGGGACCTTAGCAAGACGGCTAGGAAGGCCTCCTCTTCGTCACATGTACTACATTGCCGCCTGCCACGTAAGTCGTCTTGGTTTACAGGAGAGTTTTTGTTAACTCGGCGCTATCTGACTGGCACGGCTGGCATACGTTCCATCAAGAGGCATCGAGCGCTGAGCAATGATGTCCGCCAGATACCAGATGAAGCGGAGGGTGTCAGGATGCAGGGTACCGTCCGTCGAGATGGCAAGAGGGATGAACGCTCGAGGAGGAGTAGTCATGGCATATGCAGCGCGATGTTTGCGAATCTTCTCAGACGCTGCAACATGGAGGGCGTCGAGGTTGACCTCCCCCCACTTGGTCAGGTCGGCAGAGCTACCAATGTAAGGGTGGACCAACGTCACGTCCGCCATCAAGCCCTCGTACTGCTCGGACCCTCGATCGCGGATTCCAGGAATGTGGATATCGCCCTTCATCTTGCGGCCATGAGGATGGGAGGGTACCTGCCGTCGAGAACGAGGATCCCCCACTGTATCGATGACGCTCTGAAGACCAGCTTCGTTCAGCATCGACCGAATCGTACGAGTAAGGTTGTCATGCGCCGTGGGAAGCTTGGAGGATCGGCGTTTGCAGGTCTGGAGATGATGTGCAGCAACGGAGGGATCGAGCTCGCGCTGACATCCGGTGGCATCACATTCCGTCGGACACTGGCAGATCGGCATGCCATGGAGATAGCAGTCGAGCATCTGAGCATAGCGGTGCGGGAAGGCCTTGAGGGGGTAGTAGCTCGAGACTCGCATCGGAGAGTGGCTCAGGTCTCGCTCAGGAAAATGAGCGAAGATGGTAGACTGCAAGACCCTATCCTGCGACTTGAGCGAGTGTGTCCTGCGGCTGTGCAAGGTGAGGATATCACGCTGCTGATCGGTCAGCGCAGCGCGAGCATGCACATGGCGAGGGAAGACGCGCATGACAAGAGGGGTCACATCGGTTCTGCACACCGTCGACTCGCGACGAAGCTTGCTTTGGCAGCGATTCGCTCATTTCTTGACCAGCACTTCCTCTCGTCTCACCCTCGAGCGATTCAGTTTGGGCTCGATCGAGACGGCTGTCTGAAGTTCTCGCAAACCGCGTCAGCGCTCCTGCCCCTTCACGCTCGCGGTGATGATGAGGATGTTGCCAACCCCACAGTGCTGGTGAGTTTGGATGCAAAGAACGCCTTCAACTCCCTCGACCGCCAGGCTCTCTTCGATGCAATCGAGGGACGTGCGAGTCGCGACTACTTTGATGGGAGCATCACTGAAGGCGCAAGCTTGCCCTCTTGCGAGCATCTCCGTTTGTTCGCCCGGGCCTCCTACCTCTCCAGCTACTATGGAGACTCTGCTGACCTTCGACTCTTTCACAAAAGTCAGTCAGCCTCCGTTCAGTGTACCTCGGGCGTCTGTCAGGGCGATGTCCCCTCCAGCGTGTTTTTCTGCCACAGTATCCACCCCCTGCTCCTCCATATCGCAGAGCTTTTTCCCTCTGTTCGAGTCTTGGCCTATGCTGACAACGTCGTGCTTGTCGGTCCACTCGAGGATGCCGTTGCAGCTACGTCCGCTATGAAGAAGTACATGGTGGCTGATCTGAAGCTAGAGATTCAACCTCGCGAGTCGAAAGTTTACATCCCCTCCTGGCATCAACACCCTGATCTCTCGCAGCTGAAGAAGAGCCTTAAGCGCCGTCTCAAGACTCAACTTCTTCACTTCGAGGTCGTCACTGGCGGGATTACACTGGCTTGGCGGCCTGCCTATCGGCACGGATGGATTTCATGCTAGTCAGCTCCGAGCGAAGGTTTCTACCCTCAACGAAGAGCTCTCGAAGCTCGGGCTCGTCCAGCATGGCTTCATGTTCAAGACGCTGGTGAGGGCGAGCCATCTCCAGAAGCTGCGCTCAGGCTTCTTCCTCCAGGGGTCATCTCCGTTTCTCCCGCGGGTCCAATCACAGATTCGTCGCTTTGACCTCTCTGTCCACCTGGCGCTTGAGAAATACCACCGCTGGCCTTCCTCGCAGTACCTCGCCGCGCATCCCGACCTGCTAGAGTTTGCGAGGTTCAAGCGGGAGCTTCCGCATAGTCGGGGAGGGGACGAGTTCACGCCCTCTGAGGGTCTACACCCCGCTGTTTACTATACGGCTATCGCTCGCTTCCTCGCCGCTTGGTACTCTGACCAGCCCATGTCCCGGATGTTGCCCTCTCCTCATAGCCTGGACGTTCACTGCTCGAGATCTCTCCGTGCCCAGAAGCATCCTCTGGCGACCTTCTTCGTTGAGGCGCACGACTTCGTCCATAATGCTGGAGCGATCCTCTACCGTCGTGTCAAGGCTCCTGCACCGGCTGCAGATGGCGCGGCGATCCCACCTGCCCCGGCTGCTGTGCCTGATGACGCAGGACGCCCCCCGGCATCTGTGGTACACATCCCTGGTTTGCGCGCTCTCGTCGACTCGTCATTACGTTCGCTTATAGCTTTAGTTAATTCTCGATCCTGTCCTTCTGGTACTAATCATGGACACGGCTCTAATTGCAATTTGTACCAGTCCTTCCCCCCCTGATGGCGCCTGGGGGTCTTCTGCCCTTGCCTGGAGTAGACCCCACCCTCACTCTCCCATGGGAAAAGAGTAGGTCGGGTGGGCGACTTGGCTGGGGCAAGGGTAGGTTGTGAACCTTTTATTCCAAGTATTTGCATGCAGAAATTTGTATCGGCGGCGTGCTATTCTTAGATTCAAACTGTACTGCATGACGACAATAAAATCAATTCTACACGCCTTCGTGGTACAAGAACAGTACCGAAAATCCTATCGACCCACCCATGCTTTTCTCTGTTGGATACAGCAGGCATAACCCCTGGTCAGAGGCGTGTATTCAAAATTTGAACTTTAACGTAAGGTACCCACCCTTGCTCATGTGTCATAATTCCCTAAAACAGGAGGGTGGTCGATACGGCACTCAATCTTGGGATCAGGGGGTGGGTGGTAAGGAATCCCCAACCCATCCCTCCCTCTCGATGCATGATGAATGTTGCCCATCCAGCGACCATCAGGCTACTGAAAGATGCCAAGACCAACATGGTGACAAAGGTCAAACATGAGAATCAAAGATGGTGGGTTTGAGTGGTATGCATGCTCACTTTGCAACTCTGATACTTTAGTGACAGATCCTGCTTCCCGGCGAGCAGTCATCGTGCATGGATCAGGATGCCCAAAGCTCTGCCCTTTTCAACGCTGCACTTGCACATATTACATGTGGTGATGCACTCAGGTTGGCATTGCTACTCCACATACAGGTTGATGACAGACGTTATATTGTCTAGATTGTTTAGAACCCCAATTCCAGCTTGAACAACATTGTTGAAGACGTGCAAACTGTTAGCGGCAATCTGTTTCTCAAAAACAGATCCCATCACGAATCACGGTGAGGCTGAGATCAAGTGAAGATTGATCTTCTCATGTTTGTGTATCAGGTAAGCATCGTGCATCCACATGAACAAGCAACACGGCATTTTTTTCCTTGGCACCTTCCTTCCTAGCAGAACAATGAACACATGTAAGATATTACATGCTCGTGACGATATCGACAGCAGACAAGTTTTACGACAAAAGAAAATTATGTAGGGATGATCTAAGTGTATCGAATACTTGCTGTTGGTGCTCAACATGTGGAGAAAAGACGATTTGAATGAATTCATGAGAATTCATGACAGTGGATCACTTCTGAAGCAACGTATCTCAATGTTGCATACATAGCTTGACTTCATATCCTTACATCGTGAGAGTTGACAACCTGTATGGAGTGAGCTTTTCTGCGTCACATCATCATGCTGAGATCTGCATGCAACTTTCCAGCGCAGTTGCAGAGTCATGTGCACAGGAGTTCTCTTGCAAGTAAACTAATTCCAAATCATGCTTAATGAAATGCGTACCGTCTGTTGATGCCTTGACCGAGAACAATCGTGTTACAGAGTATTGCTACTCGCTGCATGCGAAGCTGCTACTGTCTACAACACTCTAGAGTTCTGAACATCATATCAGTCCACAGCATGCAGGTTGCAAGGTTCCGAACGAACCGCGCTTCAAAGCAGGGCCATGAGCTTTGAATCGTGCTTGATAGAACACGTACACTCAGCTCAGTTCATGCTTTCGTGACCCTAGTTGGATGTTCATACACCTTGCCAATGCCCGTGAAACATGTTGCCGCTCCCATTCAAATGTATACTGTAAATCTGAGGCACAAAATTTCTAACATCAAATATCTTGAACTATGCAAAATCAAAATCCTTGATTACACTATGATGAGGCAAGAGCAGGATGCTCGTTGTCCCATCTTGTTTGTGAGGGCACGAGTGAAGGTTGAGCTGCTTTGACAAACAGCACTGGATATCTAGTGCAATACTTTACATCTCAAGCATTTGTTTATTGATAAAACATAACATTGTCGACTATGCGAATGAAAAATCATCACAGCAACACTTGGATGGTGCTTGATTCTGAACTTGCAAGATTAGATTACGATAATGATGATTGTATTCACAAAAGCAACACAACGACCGTGCTATCAAGATATCTCATCGACATTAACTTCGAATCTTGATGGTCTATCCGTCTTCGTCATTGATTAGCGTTGTGCATATCCCTGCACCATCGCGAGAGGGCTGAAGGGAGGGGGGGGGGGCTCGGGGGGTCTACCATCATAAAATGCTGGACTCTTAAAAGTATTGTAATTTGTACCATTAAAACAAATAAATTAGTATTACAGGACCCACCCCTGTGCATTTCCCTCTTCAAACTCTACCACGCCTGTATCAGAGCCCCACAGGAAAAAGAACCCCAAAACCAACAAGCGAACGTAATGCTCATGATGAGCACTTCATTCCTCCCCGGAGTCCCCCTGCGCAGCGAAATGTGACCCCTCTTGTCATGCGCGGCGCGTCTTCCCTCGCCATGTGCATGCTCGCGCTGCGCTGACCGATCAGCAGCGTGATATCCTCACCTTGCACAGCCGCAGGACACACTCGCTCAAGTCGCAGGATAGGGTCTTGCAGTCTACCATCTTCGCTCATTTTCCTGAGCGAGACCTGAGCCACTCTCCGATGCGAGTCTCGAGCTACTACCCCCTCAAGGCCTTCCCGCACCGCTATGCTCAGATGCTCGACTGAACTTCGGAATGTGATGGATGTCAGCGCGAGCTCGATCCCTCCGTTGCTGCACATCATCTCCAGACCTGCAAACGCCGATCCTCCAAGCTTCCCACGGCGCATGACAACCTTACTCGTACGATTCGGTCGATGCTGAACGAAGCTGGTCTTCAGAGCGTCATCGATACAGTGGGGGATCCTCGTTCTCGACGGCAGGTACCCTCCCATCCTCATGGCCGCAAGATGAAGGGCGATATCTGCTTGACCCTTAGGCTGCTTGTCTGCGCGGCTTCGCCGCGCTTGGGCTGGCGATGCCGCGTCTGGGTGCCAGCAGTGCTGGTTCTTTTCGGGCTTGTGTTTTGTGTGTGTTTGTGCAGCTTCTCGCTGTGGACTGTGTGCCTGCCGGTTCAGCTTGTTCCTGCTTTGTTTTGCTTGAGGCACTTTTTATCTTCTGCCAGTAAATCCTATATACTTGTGCCTGATGACGGACCTGCTGCTGAGGTCTTGGCTCGCAAACGCGCCGCCACCTATCAGCGCCTCACCATGCAGCTGACGCTGGAAGCGCTCTTGTCTGGTGCGAGGCGCATGACGCCCTTGCGGGCGCAAGCACTTCTCGAGCCAGAGGACAGCTCCTCCTCGGACTTTGTCGAGTCGCCCGAGGAGTCTTCGCCGGAGGTCTCCGACTCCGATGGGGGACACCCTTCGAGTGGCCCCGACGATCGGCGCGGAGCTGGCGAGGCGTCTCCGTCCCTCACTGTGACGTCGGGTGCCTCCGGAGAGCTCGACACCACTGGGGTGCTTGCTGCTGGTCCGAGCTCGCCTGCTTCGGTCCCCGGCATCGGTCGGGTCACGCCGGTCCTTGGGCATTGCCGCGGCGTCGCCGCCGTCACGGGCGGCTACCACTGACTTGGCTACCGCTGACTCGGAGGCTAGCGAGGAGGACTACCTCGAGCGGTACCGTGTTCATGTGTCCAGCCTCCCTCCGTCCGCTGCCCGGGCCTGGCGGACCCCCGGGCAGCGCCGGCTCCTTGTCGGCGGCTGCCCTTTCTCCGTCCGCCGGGCCGCCCGCTTTGTGGCGGCAGCGGACGTCTCGACTGACAGTGGTCAGTCGGCTGCCTCCGGGTATCGCGTCTAAGGGATTTTATTCCTCCTGCATGCTCCTGCTGCTTGTTGCTTGATTGCCTGACCCTTAGGCTGCTTGTCTGCGCGGCTTCGCGCTTGGGCTGGCGCTGCCGCGTCTGGGTGCCAGCAGTGCTGGTTCTTTTCGGGCTTGTGTTTTGTGTGTGTTTGCCAGTTGTGCAGCTTCTCGCTGTGGACTGTGTGCCTGCCGGTTCAGCTTGTTCCTGCTTTGTTTTGCTTGAGGCACTTTTTACCTTCTGCCAGTAAATGTTGCAGCGTCTGAGAAGATTCGCAAACACCGCGCTGCATATGCCATGACTACTCCTCCTCGAGCGTTCATCCCTCTTGCCATCTCGACGGACGGTACCCTGCATCCTGACCGTACACCCTCCGCTTCATCTGGTATCTCGCGGACATCATTGCTCAGCGCTCGATGCCTCTTGAGGATGCGGCGTTTGGTCGGCACTTCGTGCCTGATGACGGACCTGCTGCTGAGGTCTTGGCTCGCAAACGCGCCGCCACCTATCAGCGCCTCACTATGCAGCTGACGCTGGAGGCGCTCTTGTCTGGTGCGAGGCGCATGACGCCCTTGCGGGCGCAAGCACTTCTCGAGCCAGAGGACAGCTCGCCGGAGGTCTCCGACTCCGATGGGGGACACCCTTCGAGTGGCCCCGACGATCGGCGCGGAGCTGGCGAGGCGTCTCCGTCCCTCACTGTGACGTCGGCTGCTTGTTGCTTGCTTGTCTGCGCGGCTTCGCGCTTGGGCTGGCGGTGCCGCGTCTGGGTGCCAGCAGTGCTGGTTCTTTTCGGGCTTGTGTTTTGTGTGTGATTGTGCAGCTTCTCGCTGTGCGCAGTGTGCCTGGAGGTTTAGCTTGATCCTGCTTTATTTTGCTTGAGGCACTTTTTATCTTCTGCCAGTAAATCCTATGCTATACAGGTACATAGGATTTACTGGCAGAAGGTAAAAAGTGCCTCAAGCAAACCAATGTAAGGGTGGACCAACGTCACGTCCGCCATCAAGCCCTCGTACTGCTCGGACCCTCGATCGCGGATTCCAGGGACGGTGGATATCGCCCTTCAACATCTTCCGCCGCGACCTACGCTGTCCCTCACCTCTGCGAGCGAGCGCCAAAGACAGTTGGCGATTCATCAGTTCACTGCGGGTGACCTTCATCGGGCGGTACGGACACTACTGAGCTCCGCGGCATCTACAAGGCTGAATCTTTCACTGATCTTCTTGCTGAAGCACAAGGAGGGACTGTCGGATTTACTGGCAGAAGGTAAAAAGTGCCTCAAGCAAAACAAAGCAGGAACAAGCTAAACCTCCCACAAGAGAAGTTCCCTGCGTCGCCTGCCTTTGGAAGTGCTGACCACTGTCAGTCGAGACGTCCGCTGCCGCCACAAAGCGGGCGGTCGCGGACGAAGAAAGGGCAGCCGCCGACAAGGAGCCGGCGTTGCCCGGGGGCCCGGGTCCGCCTGGGGCAGCGGACGGCCCGTGACTCCGGGAGGCTGGACACAGGAACACGGTACCGCTCGAGGTAGTCCTCCTCGCTAGCCTCCGAGTCAGCGGTAGCCGAGACCAACACCGCCCGTGACGGCGGCGACGCCGCGGCAATATCAAGCAACAAGCAGCAGGAGCATGCAGGAGGAATAAAATCCCTTAGACGCCGCGATACCCGGAGGCAGCCGACTGACCACTGTCAGTCGAGACGTCCGCTGCCGCCACAAAGCGGGCGGCCGCGGACGGAGAAAGGGCAGCCGCCGACAAGGAGCCGGCGCTGCCCGGGTGTCCGCCTGGGGCAGCGGACGGAGGGAGGCTGGACACATGAACACGGTACCGCTCGAGGTAGTCCTCCTCGCTAGCCTCCGAGTCAGCGGTAGCCAAGTCAGTGGTAGCCGCCCGTGACGGCGGCGACGCCGCGGCAATGCCCAAGGACCGGCGTGACCCGACCGATGCCGGGGAGGAAGCAGGCGAGCTCGGACCAGCAAAGTGCCGACCAAACGCCGCATCCTCAAGAGGCATTGAGCGCTGAGCAATGATGTCCGCCAGATACCAGATGAAGCGGAGGGTGTCAGGATGCAGGGTACCGTCCGTCGAGATGGCAAGAGGGATGAACGCTCGAGGAGGAGTAGTCATGGCATATGCAGCGCGATGTTTGCGAATCTTCTCAGACGCTGCAACATGGAGGGCGTCGAGGTTGACCTCCCCCCACTTGGTCAGGTCGGCAGAGCTACCAATGTAAGCCGGGGTGGACCAACGTCACGTCCGCCATCAAGCCCTCGTACTGCTCGGACCCTCGATCGCGGATTCCAGGAATGTGGCCCAAGGACCGTGCGGCGTGACCCGACCGATGCCGGCCGGGGCCCGCCGGGGGACTCCCGGAAGCAGGCGAGCTCGGACCAGCAGCAAGCACCGTGCCGCCACCCCACTCCGGAGGCACCCGACATCACAGTGAGCCTGGGACGGAGACGCCTCGCCAGCTCCGCGCCGGTCGTCGGCGCGGCCCTCAGTCGGAGACCTCCGGCGAAGACTCAGGCTCCTCGGGCGACTCTCACTCGACAAAGTCCGAGGAGGAGCTGTCCTCTGGCTCGAGAAGTGCCCGGGCCGGGCCGGGCGTCATGCGCCTCGCACCAGACAAGAGCGCCTCCAGCGTCAGCTGCACGGATTTACTGGCAGAAGGTAAAAAGTGCCTCAAGCAAAACAAAGCAGGAACCCTAAGGGTCAGGCAATCAAGCAACAAGCAGCAGGAGCATGCAGGAGGAATAAAATCCCTTAGACGCGATACCCGAAGGCAGCCGACTGACCACTGTCAGTCGAGACGTCCGCTGCCGCCACAAAGCGGGCGGCCGCGGACGGAGAAAGGGCAGCCGCCGACAAGGAGCCGGCGTTGCCCGGGTGTCCGCCTTGGGCAGCGGACGGAGGGAGGCTGGACACAGGAACACGGTACCGCTCGAGGTAGTGGGGGATCCTCGTTCTCGACGGCAGGTACCCTCCCATCCTCATGGCCCGGCGCAAGATGAAGGGCGATATCCACATTCCTGGAATCCGCGATCGAGGGTCCGAGCAGTACGAGGGCTTGATGGCGGACGTGACGTTGGTCCACCCTTACATTGGTAGCTCTGCCGACCTGACCAAGTGGGGGGAGGTCAACCTCGACGCCCTCCAGGCTGGACACAGGAACACGGTACCGCTCGCTAGCCTCCGAGTCAGCGGTAGCCAAGTCAGTGGTAGCCGCCCGTGACGGCGGCGACGCCGCAGCAATGCCCAAGGACCGGCGTGACCCGACCGATGCCGGGGAGGAAGCAGCCTGAGGCGAGCTCGGACCAGCAGCAAGCACCCCAGTGGTGTCGAGCTCTCCGGCCCTGAGGCACCAGGACTCCTGACTCCGCATGCAGGAGGCCGCCGCCGGACTGACCACTGTCAGTCCGGCGAGACGTCCACTATGGAGTACTGTGTGACTTCAACCACAGTGACTTGAGACTTCAGTGAGCGGGTAGTGAACGGCCGAGTTCCGACTCGCGGCGGGCCGCCGCGGCGCCGCCCGGCGGCCGGCCGCCCGGGGCGAGGTCACGGTACCGGGTAGTTCTGTCGGAGGCAGGCTTGCTATAGCCGATGAGTAAATCTGGGAAGAGACATCGGTTGCGAAGAGACACGATGGCCTTCGGCGCTTCAATGACAATGCTGGCACAGATGAGCCCCTGGGTATGCAGCCGCTGACTCGAATATGAGCTGATCATCCGACTCTTGTTCTTTATCACTTTATCTTGTTGCTTTTTTGTCGGCTCATGTATCCTCTCTTGTTGTCACCCCTGCAATCCTCTTTTACTAATGCTATTGCAATGCTTTTGCACACGTAGCTTGTGTTTCCTTGCTTCTAATGATTGATTTTGGTGAATTGCTTTTCTCTATAGATTCATAATTGCAATGCTTTTGATTTGTCTCCACTTATTCAATATGATCGATTTGCTCAAAATGATCTTGAAATGATTTACGTTCTTCCTGAATCAAGCTGGTGTCAGATAGCATGTGCGATTACACACTCCATTGGAAGTTGATTCACTCTTGTTTGTGATAATGAACTTTGATTCCGTGTGTGGTGCAGCATTGCCCCTAGATTGCATCTAATTCTGTTCCCGTACTTCCTTTCTCGTTTTACAAACTTGCTTAGAAATGTAAAATTTTGATGTCGACTCGATGTATATTGAATTGAATCACTTAATTACCGATCTTGAGTTCCTGTTGGTTTTTGAAGGGTGGTGAAAGACTTTTACTCTCATTATCTTCTCATGAGTTCATTTTGATGACTGCTGAGTGATGCTTTGCTATATGAACACTGTCTTCATGCATTGGTCAAATGGGATGTTTGTGCATAGTGACCATTGCGAATGGATAAAAATCCACAAAAGTGATGGGTCAATCGTTACTTTTCTGATTTAAAGCGACGAAAGCATCTTGTACGTTTGCGGATTATGATAACAAACTTGGTTTTCTTGATTGGCTTTGTCACTCAAAAATTGTGATGCATCAGTGTGACCCTGTTCTGTGCGTTGATACAGAATCACAAATCGTTTTGATTTTCTATCTTTTTTAAAAGTTACTCTTGAACTCATTTAGTTTTCAGGCTGAACACTGGTCCTGGTTCAAGCCAAGGTGTGACTCTATCATGACCGAGCATGGAGAGAAGGATCCTATCCCTGATACCTGTGTACCAATCTAAATCGTTCACAAATCGGCTTTAGTTCTTGGTAGAAATTCCATTTCACTCTTATTCCATCATCTCCTGCATCAGATGCAAGAACTTCACAATAAACAAAATTTCTCCTGATCTTGAAATTCCGCGTAGTTTATGGATGTTCCAGCACTGTGACTGTTCACATCGTCCCGCGAGTAGTTGTGACCTTTTACACAAGTAGATAGCAACACAGAGACCATTCACCAACGATGTGCAAATCGATGCAAGGACTGCACGTGTAAGGTTCAAAACATTTATTTTAACCCAATGTACACCACAAAGGACTAGTGAAAGAAACTTTGTGATCCCCCGATGTAATCAATAACTTACTCCCAGCCCTCCTCGGACTTGGAGATGACAAAGCTGGCAACATTGGCAATGTCATCATCAGAGAGACGTCCACCGAAGGCAGGCATGGCGTTCTTTCCGTTAGTGACCTGGGTGATCACAGCCTTCTCGTTGAATCCACCGGTGAGGAACTGTAACACAAGACAATCAATTGATCAAAAAAGATGTGTAAACACAACTCTTACCTTCTCAATGGCAGCCTTCTCGAGGGTGTGGTCGGGAACAACAGAGTTCTGGCCGCCAGCGTGGCAGGCAGCGCAGTTCGCGTTGAAGACCTTCTCGCCAGCATCAACATCGCCAGCGAAAGCAGGACCAGCGGCGAGGATAGCAGCTCCAGCAGCAGCAACCTTGGCGACTCCAGTCACCTCCTTGGCCTGCAATGTCGTCACAAACTTTCAAGATACTTCTTACAAGCAACAAAACAACACATATGGGCATTAGGGTTATCGGAACAAGCAAGGCGCATCGACTTACAGAGGCACGGAGGGTGAGGGGGCCCGGAGCGGAGAAGGCGGCGGCAGAAGCGATGGCAGCAGCAAAGGCAGCGGTCCTGAGCATGACGAGAGGTACTGGCCTCGGTTCGCGACGAGGCTATAAAGCCCTTACCCTGTCCCCCCCTTACCCCACCTCCCCCAGTCACTGCCAGGTTTTTACTAGGGTAGGGTCATGTAGGTACAACAGTGTACCTACCGAGGAGCGAGGGGGGAGTGAAGGGTGGGGTGGTACAAGACGTTAATGGTATGAGATTGTCAAATAGAATCGGGGCTGGTACTAATAGTGGTACGGATTTATAGAAGGAGATTGTACTGAGATATGACTCTATAATTCTCGAGAATTTATGGTCTCCTCGCAGAATTTGTACCAAGTTCGTACAATTTGTACCGTTTTTTGAGACCAAAACAAACATAGGTTCATTACCGAGAGACAGAAATTTAAAAAACAGTAGCTTTCGTCCAAACAGTACTCTTTGAATTGAAAGCAAAATATTTATTCGATACTAATACTGTACCAGCTCACTTTTAATACCACCGCTTTGACTCGTACGAAGTCAGAAACTTGAAATAAATCCCTGACCTACCCCAATTGAATTTGTGAAGTTTACTTCGAATGATATCATTAATATTCCAAATCAGTTAAAGCATTTAGGACTCACACAGCCAAAGAATTTCAATTGAATCTTACACCACCACCCCACCATACCTCATCCCATATTGACCGGGGTTTTATCATGGGTGGGTGGGTGAGTCAAAGAGGTGACTCAGGCCGCTGAGGCCTTTGAATGGCGGAGCCTCGAGCGGCGGCTCGGCCCCCGGACTCAGGCCAGCCTCGGAGCCTCGCGGCTCATCTGACAGTGAGCGGCCGCCCGGACCGAGTCCGGCCCGAGGTCACCCCGAGTCAAGTTTCGAGTGTGGCAATGTACGGAGTACCCTTTACTCAAAGTTAAGTTAAAAATCAGTACGAGGACAATCAGGCCCCGGTACGGTACGGTACGGTACTGGCGGCCCAGGCGGCCCTACCGCCGTAGTACGGCGTCACCGGGCCGCCGGGCCTGCCAGAACTCGGAAAGCCGGCGGTTGGGGGGCCACTGAGCCTCCCGGAGGCACTGCACAGCGGCCTGGCCGCACTGCTACTATCGGATGATCACGGTAGTTAGTACCGTAGTCACTGGCCTCCCGGGCTGCCAGTGAGGGCCAGTGAGTCAGTCCGGCGGTGTGGCAACCCCGGCTTCAAGTTGCCAGCCGCTAAGTTGAAGTGACGCGGCGGTGGCCCGCTCGGCCGGGCGGCCGCGGCGACGGCCCGGTCACCCGGGCCGCGGCGCGGCTATGATGCTGAGATTGACTCCGGGTGACCGGCCCGGCCGGGCCGCCGCCCGGCCGGGACTCGCGGCCCCGGCAATGATGCCATGACTCTGTGATGCCGGGGCCGCCGCGGCCCGGTGCCCGGCCGCGGTCACGGTGCCAGTGGAGCCGGGAGGGAAGGCCCCGGGCCTCCGAGCCTCGTCACTGAGTCAGGAGTGGATGCTTGGAGGACTCCGGGATGTACGGTTCGATGGGATCTCTTAAGTCTTTTCGGGGCAGGCTCGGGGCGCAGTCCAGGCGCCAGCATACCGTCAAGGGTTAAATATTCATGATGGGCAATGGGAAATTTCAAATTTATCTCTGAATATTTCAATTTTTTTTTCAAATTGTGTTATACATCCCTTCCATTTTCAGTTCTTGTTGAATTTGTTATGTGCTGGTGTCCCATGCTTGGAAAAAAAAGTGAAGCCAAGTACACAACGAGGCATGAAAATTTATATCAAAATTTCAACTTCCACTGACGAGCAACGATTGCTTCCAAACAAATTTCAATTTTGTTTGCGTCCCGTTCCATACCCCGTTTGGTGAGGGCATTTCAACCTGATCATGTGCTATGCCCCTTCAATATGCGAATGTCTTTCTTAATGGAGCGCATAAGATAAATTGAAGCACGTCCTCTCTTCGGCATCTGGGACCACCCCTTCGGCCTACCGACCTTTATAAAACATTATTGAATAAAAAGACCGAAATTGTAGTTTGTCGAGTTGCAGTAGGGCCCTAGGGGGTGGGTATTTCAGGGGGGTAGGGGTGGGAAAACTCAGGGTCTTTGACAGTATTCCATGGGGGTTTATGAGAGCAACAAATGCTTTGGAAGGGTGGGTGGGGAGGGGGTAGACACTCTTGGAAGGTTCATCAGGAAGGAGGGTGGGGGTACTGCTTGCCTTGCAACAGGTCACAGGGCCACTGATTGGTAGCATTGTGGAGGTAGGGGTAGGGAGGTTGGGGAGGGGTGGTGGTTATTTCATAGGGGTGTCAAGCTCATGGATAGCGTGGGTCTAGGGAGGGTGGGGGTGCAAGACCACCTAATGGGCGCGACAATCATAAGGGTGGAGGGTGGGGTACATGGGTCCCTTCCCGCCACATCATGCTGTGTGGGGAGGCAGCGTGGGCAAGAGTGCAGAGGGGCAAGAGCGAGGCAGGAGTCTGGGACATTGAGGTGGAATGCAGAGAGAGTTAGAGATGGAAGAAGATAAAGATGGTTGTTGATGGAGTTGAAACTGAGAAGAGTCTTTGATAACAGAGGAAAGGCGATGACAATTAGGATACGAAGGCGCTAAGGGCTCGGGTCTGGCAGGCCATGAATGTATACATGATACGTTGGTTAATGGATTATTCCCCCCTGCTGTTTTGTTCCTCTCCCTCTCCTCCAATACTCTTTCATCCTTCTTCCTGCTTTAAACACCTACTCCGCTGTAATTACGAAAAACGGCTTGTAAAGTGTTTGCAAGGCATTTGATACAAGTGCAGGTGTTGATGCCCTGGTCTGAAAGCATCATATTTTGACTGGATTCTTCACGTTTTGGATACTACTGGGTTAGCTTCTTGAGATGGCTCGACTGCGTTTGGCCTTGCTTCATGTTTATGTGATCGCTTCCCTTTCAATTTTAGCACTTCCAACTTCTGGAAACGACCTAGCGGATCTCTTCGCGAGGTTAACGATTTTGGACGGCCAGGAACAAAATGTTGCAACATCTGTCAATCCCTTGGCTTTCCATCCTGCCAGACTTTTTAGCGTGAGACAAACGTGTCCGACACCTCAAACTTGCAAGTATCCTTCGTCTATGTTGAACAAGCTTTCTACCTTTACTGGAGCCAACAAGGCAGGGACAAGCATTGTTATTGACAAGAAACCCGTCGACACCAAGACACCAACATTATTCGATTCTTTGGTGATGCGTGGATTCCGTCGGGTGGATGCGGAATTGGAACCGCAGCCCCCTACAAACACAAATAAGGTAAGCTGTAGTGTGCCTGCAGCATAGAAAGCAGACCTGAGCATCAAACCTTATAGGTTCTAGTGTTGAATGCTTCGTTTGAGCCCTTGTCGATCGTCTCGGCCACACGGTAAAGCCTGTCAGCACAGTAAAATCGTTCGATTGACCAATATTGTTGCAGAGCTCTGAGCTTGCTCTGGGAGGGCAAGGCGTCCATGGTTGTAGACAAAGGGAAAACGTGGAAATCTTGTGGGGGACAGCATGTTCATATTCCGTCTGTTGTGTCCTTGAGAAGATATGTCAAGGTTGTTGCCTCGCTTCATCATTCTGTGTGACAGGTCAACAGGTCCATCCAAAGATGCCCCCCTTGAATCGCAGGACTGTGCTCCTGCGCGATGAGGGGAAGTGCCAGTATGTTTCATGCAAGCGAGGGGGGATGCCACGCTCACTATGAACAGATACTGCGGTGACTTTGCCGAGAGCATCGATCATATCATACCTCGTGCGAAGTGAGTTCTTGAAGCTCTTTGCTTGTACACCCTCACATTTGATATAGGGGGGGAGGAACCACGTGGGAGAATGTGGTTGCCGCATGTAAGGCTTGCAATGGAAGAAAAGCTGCCTTCTACCTCAAGGACACGAACCTCAAGCTCAAGAAGCAGCCTGGCCCTCCAACGTCAGTCTGTTGGGTCCATGCTGCTGTATGGAAGGTTCGGTGTCAATCATGAACTAATCGAGACCTTGATGGAATGAGCAGGTGGACCCACGATGGAAACCATACATTGGCGGGCTTACGTGGAACGAGCTGGAGTCAAGACTAAGCAAGAAGCAGACGCCTGCCAAGAAAGGCAAATCGAAGGCGAAGCGCGGCAAGGTGAAGGGAATCTCATACATCTCTTCAACTCACATGACTTTCAGAGCAAAGGAAAGGTCTCGCCTTCGAGTGATGATGCAAAGAGCGTTATTGCTGCTTATTCGGGTTGAGCATACGCCCACAACGTGGATTGAGCGCAAACAATTTTGATTCCCTAGTACTTGTTTTGATGGGAACTATTTTGGCAAAGATCGAATCACCTCAATCGACGAGAGAGGCGTGAGACATACTCTTAATCTTCTAATCTATATAGGAAAGACTACAAGGTTTCTCACGGCTTGATCATCGTTCCACTCTCGTAGAACTTTGTGACTAATCTGCATGCTCTTCTCGCTTGCTTCAAACCTTGGCAAGCTCGATACCTCGCAAGAAGGAGAACTTGTTGTCCTGTTTCACCGTTATGTCTCTCACCTCCCACCGTAATGCAGGTACCCTCATCTCCTCGAACTTGGCGATCTTGTCTGCCTTCTGGAGGGTCAGGCCGATGTCGTCGAGGCCCTCGACAAGGCAGTGCTTGCGGAACGAGTCCACCTCAAAGCTGATGCTCTCCCCATTGGCTCGCACGATCTTCTGGTTGGGCAGGTCGACCTCAAGTTCCTTCGCCTCTTCCGCATCCTTCATGAGCACTCGGACCTTGTCCAACGTCATCAAGGGGCCGTGGGAGGGAAACGTCCCAAGCTACCTGAGCCTCGGGGAGGACGATCGGAAGCATACCATTCTTGAAGCAATTGTTAAAGAAGATGTCCGCAAAGCTATGTTGTCTAGTCAGAACAGCCACAGCACGTCTCCAATTAATGTCGTGAGGCTTACCCGCTTGCGATGATGCAGCGAATGCCGAAGTCAGAGATGGCCCAAGGAGCATGCTCACGAGAGGATCCGCATCCAAAGTTGTTGCCGGCAACGAGGATCTTGGCCTGCTTGTAGGGAGCCTGCTTCCAACTCAGACGGGACCAATACATGCCATGCCGTCAACCTTGTTCAGCACGAACTCTGGATTCTCCTTCCCATTTGCATCGTATCTCATCTCGTAGAAAGCGCTCACGCCAAGCCCCTGCCATACGGTTTCCCATCAGAATCTTCTTGTACATGCGGCCATCAGGTTTGACGAGACATGCACAAATCAAACTAACGAGGCCAAACATCACATTCTTTGCCGGCTATTTAACCGCGAAATCGACAGAAGCTCGACATCGCAGCAGATTCTCGGCATTGTGAGGTGAAAACAAAAAGGAGTCTGGTGGGCTTCGAGCTAAATAGGTGAAACGACAAGCTAACGGCAGACAGCAGGCAAGGGAGAAAGGAAACAACACTTAGAAACCAACCGTCCTCTTAATTGTCTTCAGGAACTGCTTGGGGATGATCATGTCTGTGTCGACGTTCTGGATATCCATCGGAGCTGCAGTACCCTGTGTTCATGTCACAATGCCTGCTGGGCTGGCAGCTTGCTCACGCTCCTTGAGGTTGACAAATTTGGGCATCCCGCCTGTCTTTGAGGATCCAGGAGAGGTGAAAGTCGCGCCAGCAGCTGGTCGTGCGACGGGCGCGTACTTGAGGTGAACTGGTGAGGGAGACCTAGGAGCAGGGCGAGTCACCTCGCTCTTGGGAAGTGTCTCCTCCGACGGTGTGGGGATCTTGAGGTCTCCAAACTTTCGGATGTCTGTGAGCTTGCCCTACTAGAAGTGACTTGACGGCACCGCATTGACGTCACCAACCTCGATCGCAGCAGCAGCAGCCATGACGGGAGAAACGAGATGAGTTCGGCCTCCTTGCCCTTGACGTCCCTCGAAGTTTCTGTTCGAAGTGGAAGCACACCTGTCAAGCCATGAGCACGAGCATCGCTGTCACATGCCCCATCAACCTCTCGCCAGGTTGAAGCTTGTCAGGGTTCATGGCAAGGCACATGCTGCAGCCGGGCTCTCTCCAATCGAAGCCTGAAACAAGTTTGACTTGTGGGGCATCTGCGTCAGATCGACTCACCAGCCTCGATCAAGATCTTGTCAAGTCCTTCACGAATAGCCTGCTCCTTAACAAGACCAGAACCAGGCACAACCATAGCATGCACGCCAGGCGCCACCTTTCGTCCCTTCGCAACAGCTGCGACCTCACGAATGTCCTGGATCCTTCCGTTTGTACAAGAGCCGATGAAAACTTTCTCAATCTTAACTTCGTCGAGCTTCTGGTTGGGCTCGAGCCCCATGTACTTAAGTGCACGTTCCATGCTCGCCCTTCTCAACGGATCCGATTCCTTGGCAGGATCAGGAACATAACCAGTGATGGGCGCTGTGTCTTGAGGAGAGGTGCCCCAAGTCACAGTGGGCTGGATGTCTTTGGCATCGATCACTACTTCTGTGTCGTACTTGGCGCCAGAATCCGACTTGAGCGTCTTCCAGTAAGCCACGGCCTTGTCCCACTCAGCTCCCTTGGGAGCCAGCGGCCTTCCCTTGAGGTACTCGAACGTTGTCTCGTCCGGCGCAATCATACCCGCACGTGCTCCTGCTTCGATGGCCATGTTGCAGATGGACATCCTGGCCTCCATAGACAACTTCTCGATGGCTGAGCCACAGAATTCGATGACATGGCCGGTGCCACCTGCAGTGCCGATGACGCCGATGACATGGAGGATGATGTCCTTGGACGACACCCCTGCTCCAAGCTCCCCCTTCACCTCGATCTTCATGTTCTTCGGTCTCTTCTGCGGCAGGGTCTGCGTTGCGAGCACATGCTCCACCTCGGAAGTGCCGATACCAAACGCAAGAGCTCCGAACGCTCCGTGCGTGGCCGTGTGGCTGTCGCCACAGACAACAGTGCTTCCAGGAAGCGTGAAGCCCTGCTCGGGCCCGATGATATGCACGATGCCTTGCCGCTTGTCATCCATGCCGAAGTATGCTAGCCCGAACTCCTTGACGTTCTGCTCGAGCGCGAGGACCTGAGTGCGGCTGTCCATCTCCTTGATGAAGGTCTCCACGGACTGGAACATGCTGCGATCTGTTGTCGGCACGTTGTGATCGACCGTGGCGAGGGTGCAACCTGGTTGTCTGACCTGCCTGCCTGCCACTCGCAGACCCTCGAAGGCCTGAGGGGAAGTCACCTCATGAACCAGGTGACGATCGATGTAGATAAGGGAGGAGCCATCAGACTCATCCACCAGATGGTCTGCCCAGATCTTGTCGAACAGCGTGGATGGTCCCTGGTTCGCCATCGCCACTCGCAAACCTACTGAGCATGCTCTGCTCCTGCCAGACACTGCAAGCCGACCCTTGTTGGAGACGCCAAAGCGAGGGCAGGCAGACAGGCGGAGGGAAGGAGCGAGAGCAGAAGGCGCGAGGACCTTCGATGGCGCGAAGGCGGAAGCAGGGGCGGTGATCGCACAGAGCAGAGGCAGCAGCACCAACGAACGCCACATGGCGGCGGCTGTCCAATCCTCAACAAAGGACGGTGAGTTTGCTGGGGGTCCTAAGTTTTACTACGAAGCAGCAAATTTTTAAACAATCTACACAAGATTTTCGAAAATTTCCATTTGAACATAACTATTTAATACACATAATTTAAAAATTGTAACATTTTCATGAAAAGGTACCCCTGCCGAAAAAACTTTCTGGCCCCCACTCGAAGCATGCAGGGTCGCATGCTCCCTTTACGGGCCCGCCTTATTAGAGAGTAATCTTTTGTGGGGGTAGGGGTGGTCTAAAAACCATTCTGTACGGGTAAAATATAGGGTCTTAAAGGGGGTAAAAAACATGTTGATTGGAGCAAGGGGGTCCAGGGTAGCAGCGAGGCACAACACAGATTGGGTAAGTGAGGGGATGTGGCTTCTGCTTTCAGTTTTGTCAGGTCCGCCTCAGGCTTTTGTGCGTTGAAATGGGCAAATGGGCGGCATGAAGTGAAGCTGAGGGTGTTAGTCGTGCTGCTGCTGCTGCTGTTCCCTCATCACGCCCTTACGTTTCTTTCTGGTTCTCCTGCTCTTCTTGCTTCCTCCTTTCGCTTCCCTGTCTCTCTTACCTCGTCGATTCCCGATTCCTTGGCGTTTTACTTGATCCCTTGTTTGATCAGCTTGCTGCCCCGTTGCTGAAACTAACTTGAAGCTGCCTGCTCCTGCTCGTCAACGATCGCAGCTCTGAAATGTCAGACGACGCTTATCTGGAGGGCATTAAGACTCAGTATGTGTTCCACTGCCATGACCGAAGCGGTTCTGCGGAGATACTAGTAGATGTCGGCATCAGTTGGAGCGACTTCTTGTCCGACCTCCGGCAGGAGTTTGGGAGAAATGTCAACTTCACGTACCGGAGAGATGAAGAGGAGGTGGAAGTGAAGAATGAGAGAGACTTCGATGAATTCTGTGGATACTGTGATGAAGAGCAGGTATGTTGTGCTGTTTTTTGCTTGTTTCCTCGTACCTCACAACCGCATATCATGACATCATTCCCTGCTCTAGGTTGCATCAATGGACATCTACATCAAAGACAAGCCCATGTCCGAGCTCGAAGTCGCTCAACGCAGTTTCTCGTCTCCTCGTGACATCCTGGGCGCTTCTGTGCAGAAAGACAACTTGTACGCTCTCAGGCCCCCCACGCGGCATGTGCGGCCCAGCACAGCCGGAGCTCGCAGACCCAACGTCAACGGCAAGTCGATAGCAAACCCGAGCAAAAGAGCAGCGTGGGAAAAGCAAGGAGGAGGAGGAGGAGGAGGAGGAGGAGGAAGTTCTCCAAAACCAAAGCGACAGGCGAGAATAGCAGACGAGCGGCTGGATAAAGAGACACTACAGCACAAGGTGAACGAGCTGCAGCGACAGATCAATGTGCTGGTGGACGAGAAGACGAGACTGCACGCTGATTACGCGAGGCTGCAGCAAGATTTCAACAAAGTCCTTCGAGAGAACGAGGAGCTGTTCCGAGCTAAGGCTGGGAGCGCTGCAGTCAAGGGAGGAGCATCTTCACATCTCGTGCACAACATGAAGAAGCGGATCAAGGAGCTGGAAGGTCTCGTGTCGAGCAAAGAAGAAGAGATGAAGAAGCTCAAGATGGATACGCGAGTAACTCGCCTTACCGAGCTCGAGGTGGAACGCGATGCTTTCCTGCAGGAAGTCCGTCGGTTGCAGCGAGAAAATCGCAAAGTGACAAGCGACATGCAGAAGATCCAGATGGGTTTCAGCGCGAACAACGAAGAACACACCATGAACTACAAGGAGCTCTACCGTATGTACCAGATAGTCGTGAAGGACAACAATGAGATGAAGAAGAGAGCTGAGACCGTGGAGGTACCGATTGTGATGATTGTATCCCCTCATGCTGATACTTCCCCCCTACTGTACTTCTCTCATGCTGCCTCTGCAGCCTCCGACTCGCCGCTGAACTATGATGCAGGCAAAAAGCAGTGAGCTCAGGGAAAGCTTTCAGATCGCCCAGCGGGCCAACGAGAAGTTGCGGAAGGAGCTGCATGCAGCAAAGGCGAGTTTGAGGAAGGCAGCGGCAGAAGGAGGCAGCAGTGAAGGGCTGAGATCGACGGCGCAGCAAAGGAAAGGAAAGGAGGAGGCGCTGGAGAAGAGAGTGAAGGAGCTGCTGGCCAATCAGAAGAGACTTGATCTCGCGCTGAATCGAATCAGCAGGGAACGAGACGCGGTGAGATGTCAAAGCTGTCAAGATGCGGAGCAGGAGAGGGAGAGAGTTGAAAGGGGGTAACGATAATCCACAGGCGGAGGCTGGGAGGCTTGACAAGGAGGCAGAGGTCAAGAAGTTGACCGAGCAGAAGAAGATGCTGCAGATGGAGCTACACGCGCTTGGAGCCAACGTTAAGACAGGAAAGAAGGGGGCAGGCGAAAAGGCGGAGATGATGTGCTTCTATTGCGAAGATAGGACATCGAATCATGGTCCTATCCATCGTTTCTTCTTCATCTTCTCGTCGCTGACTCTCTCGCAGTTCGCGTTCAGTTCGTCAACGCAAGGATCTCATTCGCTGACTTTCAAGACATCTTGCGAAGGCTCTTCGACCGCCAGGGTCTCGTGACCTTCACCTATGAGGAGGGAGGGGAGGAGCGACGGGTGCGAGACGCGGAGACTTTCAGCCGGTGCAAGGAAGAGGTTGAGAACAGCTACAGCGGGCAAGGAGACCAGGCAATCGTGATTCACCTGGATGCCCAGCGTTCGCTTGGTCCGAGGGAGAGCGAGGAGCAAGGTGAGGGTGAGGAAGAGCTGGAGGAGCTGGAGGAGTCTGGTGGCATTCCCGATGGTGGCGGGCAATCAAGGTTGTTGGAGAAAGTTGGAGATGAGGGAGGGAGGAAGAGAAGTTTCTCCTGTAAGCTCCGATGCCACTACGAGGAAGAGACGATCGATGAGGTGGAGGTTGACGATAACACTCGCTGGATCGACTTCCTCGCGCTCCTCAGACACATCCTCAAGGATGATGCGACCTTCACGTACCTCAGGCGAACGAAGGAGGAAGAGAAGGAGGAAGAGAAGGAGGAGATGGTCCAAGTCAACAACGCCAGGGAGTTCGCTGCCTTCCTCGCGTCACTCCGAGGCTCCGACGCCTCCATGGAAGAAATCTTCCTCGTCCGCCGTGAATCTGCTGCCTTCTTCCCCTCCCGCAAGGAATCGACGAAGCGAGCAGAGATCAAGCACGGTGTGCAGGATGCGCTCAGGCAACTCTCTTCTGAGGCGACTAGCGACTGGCCAAGAGTGGATGACGAGGAGAGAGATAGTCACGTGAGCGAGGAGGAAGAACTGGAGAAAGAGAAGGAGGAGGAGAGGGAGAGGGAGGAGGAGAGAGAGAGGGAGGAGGAGGAGGAGGGAGAGGGAGGCGAAGGAGAGGGAGGAGGGA